TCGAACCCTCGATAACTTTAAACTAGCACTCATTTTTACCTCTTTTCATCTCCGTTCAGGCCATTTCCTGCACGGTTTTACCCTCGGTGACTCGAACCTTGTTTATCATTCGTGGCAAGGAAAAAGCAAGAACACCTCCGCCCAAAAAAGTCGAATCTATTTCGAATCTAAATTTTCCACATTTTTTGGTTTGTTTTTGCGCTACACCAAACGATTGTCATCGCAGTTACAGTTTCGTTCTTTGAGGATACACTTAACTACTTTGGATTTTATTTAAAGTAAGCTTTGGTGCTTCTGCAATTCTGCTTCTGAAACGTTTCAATTACTCCCGACTTCGTATTTAGAAGCTACAAAATTAATCTACCAGGGAAATTGTCAGAACCCTCTTACGAAAGGAAGCAGATAGCTTTAAAATCGTGCGAGGGAAATGATTAAGGCAATTATTATAAAAGTCAAAATAAGACTCAGGTTTTGAGGATAGATATAGGTTGTGCACCTCTTGTTCGTGCCCAGCTGTCAGCTTGTTTACTGGAAGTTGCGTAATTAATTCTTTAGAGAAGGTATTCTATTCCTAGTTTTTGGTCAAAGTTAGTGATGCTAATAAACTTAACTGAAGAAAGTTTCAGCTAGCCAGGTTTAAATCTCGAAAGACCGGATTTCTGGGTAAATTGTTACCAAGAATGACAGGCCATTTCTGATTAAGCCATGTAAATGGTTTTGTATAGACATGGAGGCTTTGGATGGAAACTTGAATCTCACCCCCCTTGGTTACCTTCTGGCGAAGTTACCCATTGAACCACGGCTTGGCAAGATGATCATTCTTGGATGCATCTTTTAGTAAGTAGTAGTGTTTTTTCTTTTTTTCACGGGTGATTTCTTTTTAAAGCTACTGCAGCATTTCCCAGGAAGTTGTTGTAGTCGTACCATATGGTATGGATCCATTAAGAATTGCAGAATACGGAGAGATTTTATGGATAGCGCTTGGTCATTAGGGGATGCGATGAAAGTGACGGAAGATAGATCTTCCGCGACAGACGAGCCTGTCTAAGGCTTGTAGTCAGTGGAGACGAGCGAAAAAGGCGGGCGCGCGAGGAAAAATGAAAAACGATCCGCATTCGTTTCCCCCATACAGCTGTGACCGCCGCGCGACCGCTTGATTACCACTTTATGGTGCGTCTGCTTTTTCGCTGGTTACTAACTGACCGCGTGGCTTAGGCCAGGGATTGGCCAGTATTCCGTTCACAACTTGTTACGGGAAGCAGGGCAGAGGTTAGTGCTTATTGTTTAAGAAACTTTCTGTAGGTTCCTTGTAGTCTTAACCACAAGTTTACTCATTAATGTTTTGCCATGCTCTTCTCAGCTGTGGAGATGCCATGTGCACTATTGCTGCCAGCACCAGTTTCCCTGAACCGTTCGAAACACCAACTGACCAAAGGAGACTGGGTTGGGTACATAAACAGTTTTCTGGGTCACGTCATAGCGACCACATTGCGTTACTCAGCGCATATCAGGCCTGGGAGGATGCCAGGTAACACAAATGATGTGACGAAACAAGAATAATGCCTTGATAGCAAAAGGGAGAGAGGGACTACGAAAGATACATAGAAGGAGGGGAGCTCAGGAAACGATTCGGCCGGGTGGATGGAGACAGGGAAGGTGTTGGGAAGTAGGGCTTCATGTTTCAGATTAAAAGATCTCCCTCAATGCGAACACGAACAGACATGTGTCGTATGGAGTACCTTCATTTTGGAAATTTGCAACCACGCCATTGTTTCTTTCTGCCTGAGAGAGGACGAAAATTATCGGCCGTCTCAGTAGTCTCATTTGTCAGTTGTCTTTAAAAACCAGACCCCAGATATGTGTTTGCCGAGAGATGTTCTTGTGCGTCACAATGTTGTTTTTGTTTTCTTTAATGTAGGTCAGTGGAAGATGAATCTGCTGAGTATCAGTTTTGCGAGAGTCGTCAGTTGAACATGTCAACTCTTCGCATGACATCGGAGGCCAAGGTAAAACTGTGACAGTCAAACCATTCGTGCGCGTAGTCCCACCAATCTGAGGTGGAAAAGCCTCTGTTTCATATTAACTTACTCAAAATACTTTTTACGTCCATTTGATTACTTTCATTCATTTGTTCGTCTTGTCTACAGCTTCAACTGAAAGATCTCCTTTGTAATGCTGGTTTTCCAGATGGTAAGTGACTATTAAATTAATCCTTTCCACCCTAACATCAGTTTGCATATTCTCCATACTGTTCTCTGTACATTTCCTAAGATGTTGACAAGGAGAATTTGTTTAACAATCAAGAGCTTCTCTAGTTGGTGATCATTTCCTTTATTCTCGTGAACACAATGTGTGATTCGGGGGTGATATTGTAAAGAGAAGTTGGATAATAGTCAGTAGGAGTCAAAGTGTTTGGGAGGTACTAGCGAAATTTATCGGTACGGAATGCCATGTCCGAAAGCTTGAGGTCTAGCTTATTTTTGTACACTGAATTCATTACATGTGGAATGAAAAACCCAGTAGTCCAATATTTGTCATATTCGGCTGCATTGCGTGACGCTGTGGAGGCTCAAAGATGAGGTAGTTTGTGATTTTGTGCAAATAAGAAGGTTTACCCTGTAGTACCTATCGCCACCAATTTCACTGAAGACTATTCTGAAATGGCTGTACATGGGCATGTTATCTTGGTAGTTTTGAAGTGATGTCGTTGGCTTACCATGATCCTCTCCGTTACTGTCAATTTGTCGGGTTCATTTGACTCGTCTGTTGATTTCTGCTGTCATAATCTGGTTCACATAGCATAGGAAGAAGCTCGTGTAGCTCTCTTTGTCAGTATCTGCTCTGGTAAATACATACACTCTTCCCTATCCCTTGCAGAATGTATGCATCCACAGCCGTTTAATTACAGCGGTCCAGACTCCAAGCTGGACATGGTAGGGAATTTTGAATGTCACATACTATGCAGTTAAATAGCGTACTGTGTTTTCCAAACTTTTTCAGGTTATTATCCTTTTGTCAATATCATTTTTTGATTTTAGTCAAAGCGTCGTTTTTCTGGTAGGTTGAATTTTTTACATCGACTATTCCGGAAAGGTTACATATGTGAGCTTCTTTCCTGACCTTCAGAAGTCAGTTATTTCTTTTTTTAAGCTTCGGTTGTTGATGTTGTTGTTAATGCTGGATGTTGTTTAGTACCGCGTTGACTTCTCCGCTCTGCTGCGCTAACATCTCGAATCTAGCCTAACCTTGGTTGGGCTTTACCAAAGTGTATAGTGTATATTTTCTCGGACGAGTAAGTAATTACTTCTAAGGCTAGGAAACACAAACAAGTCGATGTGAACGTTAAAGTCAGCAACATTCGAAGCCAAAATTGAGTTGAGGAAGTTGTAGTCCAACAGCCTTTGTAGTATAGACTCAGCCTTGCAACGACACACGTGAACAGTTGACAAGAAGTGCAAACATGCAGTCCGTTCGGTTTTAGAAGAGCTGTTCTTCATCGTTGGTTTTGAAGGGTGAACTTGGGAAAATGAGCGTAACCTCTAGTATCCATGTAGTATTTTTTGAAATGGGCAGTTTTTCCGTTTGCTCAGGTCGTGGCTTTGTTGTGCTTGGGTATGTATCCTAATGTCTGCGTACACCGAGGGAAACGAAAAGTACTAACAACAGAAGGGAAAGCCGCGCTCATCCACAAGTCATCTGTAAACTGCTCCAACAGGGAACAGACTTTCCCGTCTCCGTTCTTTGTGTTTGGAGAGAAGGTAAGCTGTTGGGTGTTCTTTGGGGTTACCAAAAGTAATCAGGCGATTTCTGTATTGTTTGAAGGTCTTAAATTCTATTACAGGAGTCCTTTTTCTCGTACTGTCTTCGCAGGAACCTTCAGTCCTGTCACGTATTTTAATGAGCTTAATTCAAACAATAACATTAGCGAGGGTATCTTTGCGAGGCACGATAGACTTGGAGCGGCTCATGCGAGCGTCTGTTCCCCAGCAAACCAAACTGAAACAGGCTTCTCATGATGATGTAATTGTGCTGTAGATTCGTACCCGCGCTGTATCGTGTAAACAGATGACCATGGTTAATCCTCTACAACTGCTCATGTTTAGTCAGAGTAAAGTAGACTCTGAGAATGGAATTGTCAAAATGGACGACTGGTAAGGACACTTGTCTATACTCACAGTGATTGTGGTGTTAGTTTTTATATCAAACGTTTGAAATTTGAAATTCAACAGTGATTTGATTTGTCTAATAACATACATGCGATGATTTCATCATGCTCGATGGCGGCACAATCGGATTTAAATACCCCAAGAAGTTATTCCCTAATTTCGTAAATAAATCTTGTTATTGCCCCCAAAGTTGACAAACCGCTGCAAGAACTCTTCATTTGTTTTCAATACTTTCAATGCTTTCAATACGTTTTAGACTCTATTAGGCCACGAAATTGTTTCGCTCTATGTTAGTTTTTTTAGCCTGACGGCGATTATAAACGGCGCTTTGGTAGCGGAGGAAGGAAAAATAAAGGGGTTTGGGTCGGGCACGTAATCGACCCGACCTAAATTCCCTCGTTTTCGCTCTGCCGCTACTATTTACGAAGAGAATGCCAGGAACAGAATGTTACTGTTTGTTATTTTTAAGGTTACAGTTTCGATTTGCTCACCGTCAAGCCGCCATGATCGTAGCCCTGCGCCAAGCGCTTGACTTCCTATTGGTTCGCGCTGCCACTAATCCAGCCACAATAGCTGAACCGAGTCATGAAGATGAGAGAATACTGCATGTTATTAAGGCCTTGTCAAGAGCTAATGCTGGAAGCTTTAACGTGAGCCGCGGTGGGGGCCAATTTCAACCGAGAGGAGGACCAATACCGGGGTATGTAAATTGGGCCTCAAAGAGAGTTTTGCAACAAAGGATCTAGTTTGTTTCGTTACTTTACACAGCGCTCTGTGATTGGTTTAAGATTGTTGCGCTGCTTAATCGACCAATCAGTAATAGTAATAAGATTGACAGGATCGGAAGTCAAGGAGTGATCAGCCGCAAGGCTGATTTGAAATCAACAGCACCAGTAATAGTAGCCCAGAATTCTACGACATGGAGTCCTTTTATCGATTAATAATTTTCAGAGGCTAAGACAAGAAATATGTTATGTTAGGAAGTGCATCTTATTTTTAAATATCAGGCTAACACTCATCCTTCCAAAACTGTTCAGAACTCTAATTTTCAAGCTATACGTGGGCAACTGACTCACTTAAGATCTTTTTTGTTTTTAATTATTTGATTGGAAAGCGTTGATGAGGTAGTTAAATTTATTGACTGTTAACACTGAATGCCTATCTTCGTTAGGCTTTGTCAGTTTGGCGGTGCACCAGTCAAGTCTTTCTAAAAAACATTAAAAACTAATCGATTCAATCAGTTTGTGTTGGACACATTTACATGAAAAATCCAGTATTCACGAGTTTTTTTTCCGTCGTGAAAGTCACAGAACTAACTTCAATGTGTCTCTTTAGGTTGATGCACCGAGGTGGACGTGGTGGACCCCCACCAAGGCGTGGCTATCAAGGTCCTCGGCATTACCGCGGCAATCATCAAGGGGGTGGATTCCGCGGCGGGGGCAATTTCCGAGGGAGACCCCAGCGGGGAGGCTTTCGCGGATTTCGCGGCGGACAATATTAAATAATACGTTAGGCTTACTGCTTACAGTGGAACAGAGGAGTCTGTGAAAATCTCGGTAATAATTTGGTTTTAACTCACCAGGGAATACCAAGGCGTTATAAAGTAGCTGACAGAATCACCAAAAAAAATAAGGTAGACTTGGAAAATTTCACACTCGTTTACCTTGTATTCAAAATTGCTGCTTTCCAGAGGAAATAGTTTATCATAACTTAAACACGAAGGCGCGCTATAAAAGGAGCGTTAGGTCCCACTGGACCATTTGTCAATCAACCGTCGTGTGCTGTAGAACTCTCAGAGTCAAGTCAACTTGAGCTACAGCTACATCCAAAGCAGTGAACAGCGGGCGCATTCCTCAAAATTGTTTTATGTCTTCATCACAATACAAGAATTTTTGAGATTTGTATTTCCTTTCTCCAACGGAAACTGTCTTTATTTGTGGCGGTAAATTTGAGATGGAAGAAGGTGGTTGGCACGTTACCTCATTGCCACCATGCTGGTGGATGTAAACAATAGACATCTCATTAGCTCCTTTTGTTCGTCCACCAGCATTTGAATTTGACCCGCACACGTCAACGGAGAGTGACAAATGAACCTCGGTCTTCCCAGGGAAGACTTCCTTATATACCGCGCCTTCGTGTTTTGAACCATTAACCTCTATGTAATTAATGCCCGAAAAGAAAGCCTCTTTGATTGGGTCTTTGAAGATTGGAAGCGTGTCGACAGTGAAACTGAAAGCTCTGACAATTTTATGATCTTGTGTGCACAGAGTATCGTGCGCATCATGTTCCAATCCCGAAAATTTCCTCTTGAAAAACTCCGTTCTCGCTCCAATCCTGATTGCTCATGGCCTCTTAAAGGGTGCTAGCGGCCCCCGGTCTTAGCCGCCTATAATACATTTCGCGCTACGTAATTTGTCGGATTATGAGTACTCCTTATTTTCCCGGTGAAAAGAACATTCCATAAGTCACGCGGAGCCAGGACATTTTTTTGGCGATTTTATTTATACTTTTGCGACAGATTTTTCTGTGAAAGGACCGTTTGCACTTGAAACGTTTGTTGGATAATGGCAGTTAAACAGTAAGGTGAAGATAAAAATAAAAAAAAAATTCTGGAAATTGAATTATCGTGCCTCAGGGCTCGAAATATAAAGTTGGAGGCGTTGTCACATTTTCAACTCTTCCTGCGCGAAATGAGATTTCTAACGTCACATGACAACTTGGCATGAACTAAGTGGAGTGGTCTCTCAGTTGAATGGTGAAAGAGGTGTTTATTTACCTGATTTTAGAGTAAACATATTACTATCTAAGAGTACTTACAACGTACCGAAAATACTTTTCATCGTAACCTCGTCTCTGTTCTTCATAGGAACGATGAAGGTTCGCTCAGCATATACCCAGTGAAATTACAAAAGAAAATTCTCGCCAATGACTGTAATACGCTCTTAATATTCGCTTGTACACCCGCCGCAACACTAAATAAATTAACTGACCATTTCCGGGCGACTTATTTACCACGTCGTGAAATTGCAAACACCTTGCAAACCACGAATCATCTTCAGAGAACACGAGTCAATTAAGCATGCCAGTTTACTGAAAGTTACAGGATCAAATTCTTCTCTTATAATCAAATTCTCCCCAAAAGAGCTCCTAAAGTTATGAACGTTGAACTTTTACTGAGCCAAAATACACTGGGATGGCTGCTAGCGCTTTTGAACTTATTTAAATCCCAGTTACCATACTGTTAACTATCGTATGATAAATTGCTTCGAAGAGAAATTTAAGCCGGAATTATTCGAGTTCCTCAACAGTTACACTAAGCTGGGAGTTAATCAGTGACGGATCCAGGGGAGGGGCCTGAGTCCCCCTTATTTTTGGACCAAACTGAGGCTCAAAGAGCCAAGAAAACTTTTGGAGACCCCCCTTTTTCTAATGGTCTGGATGACCGCTCTCCTCCCCTCCCCCCTCCCAATATCATGGTCTGGATACGGCACTGTAATAGTGATATATGAAATACAACCGCATGATCATAAGATTTCAAAAACCGACTCTACTAAGTAATGGAAATCTGGACAAAACTGCGGTAAAGTGTTCCAATGACTGTTCAATTCACAGAATTACTGCTTCTTTACAAAACTTTACAGCTTTGCTGCATGATCGATAAAGCCGTCTGCCATACACAGGATATCATTAGCTTCTCACTGCCATGGAAATTCCAGTTACAATGAATTTGTTTACAATGTTTAGAAGCGTAAATGTGGTTTGTTCTTGGTCATAAACCTGCCGAGAAAAAAAATGTAATTTAAGCTAAGCGGAAATCTAGGTGAACGCCTACAACAGGCATCCGAGCACTGAATTCATAACATCAAAAGCCTCGTGGTTTGAAGAAAACTCCGGTTTGGGAGTAGCTCTCAATAATATCTATCAGTTTCTCTCAATAAAATGTAAAGAATAAGCAGCCATGTAGGAACGCATCGAGTATTCGCGAAACCTGTTTTACACCCTAACATCAGTATGCATATTCTCCAAACTGTTCTCTATACATTTGCTATGGTGCTGACAAGGTGAATTTGTTTAACAATCAAAAGCTTCTTCAGTTGGTGATCATTTCCTTTACTCTCATGACCTTAACGTTTGAATTCAGGGGTGATATTGTAAGGAGAAATTAGATACTGGTCACTCTGGGGTCAAAAGGTAAAATGCAATCAGTGTACTTACTTATCAAGAATTTCCCAGAATCTGATGATGGAAGCTTTGTCTAGATGTCGTTTATTTCGGCTGATCTGAAAGTAAGTTGTAAACACACCTATTAATCTTTTTCTCCCATTTCGGAGGAAGGTAAAAAAAACAACAAATATACTAACTGTGAGGATATGTACGTCCCATTTCTGCACATTGGGATCTGTTTTCATCTCGTCGTACTTGAGATAGAAACCTTTAGCTGCAACACAAGAAGCATTCCTCTTTAATCCAGCGAATAGTTTAAAATTGGGAGAAATAGCCGATCGTGGCACACATTTACATTACATATTAACTGAATTTTTAGCGTTTACGATGCGGTGTTTTTCTCAAAACCAATTTTCTTCGGTCGCTGACATCAAATACGGTAAGTCATTTGTAAATGTTAGGTGTGACAGAAACTTGATTTAAATTCCAATGTCGCTTCGTAGTGAAGGTTTCCACAGATGGTGTAGGTGATTAGGAGTGGCCTTTAGTTCGAAGACGGCAAACAAAAATTGTGCCAAAAACCCGCCAGCTACGAGAGCTTAGATGGAAGATCAGTAATGTAAAGGTATAGCCATGACGTACAGAAACCCGAAAGCTCAATTACAACTGGGCGTGCTACTAGTTGCAATCCAACAGTCAAACATACTTTTGATGAAGATGTCGACAGGGGAGCTGTAAGGCCAACCTTTGAACTGCCAGGCTGGACCCTGGACAAACACTGCTACAACACGATTCCTGGAAGAGGAAAAAACGATAACTCAAAGCAAACGTTAAAAAAAAAAACTTTGGCAAATATTAGAAAACAAGTTATAAATAAATACAATGAGACCCAAACCACGAACAAAATGATCACCAGAGCCAATCAGAGCTAAGGTAAAGAACATAAGGAAGGTAAATACAAGTCAACTGTCTAAAGCGCGGGAAAGCACGAGTGATCACGCCGTGCTTAGTTTTTGTTGAATTTTGGTTCAGTTGAGAAATAAAGCTTAAAAACATTTAAAACAATTTAGTGAGATGTCTCTAATAAGTGGAGTGTGCTTTTATCGAACTAGCAATTAAACTCGTTGATAATGCTCTGCTGCTTACACTTATCGTGAAAATTAGTTCCTCACTGATATTTTACCTCAAAAAAAAAAAAACAAAATTGTAACCTTTAAATTTCAATCCACAAGAGGTATAAAAAAATTCTCTGGGAGGAAAGGGTGGGGGGTGGGGGTGGGGTCGACTCACCAGTCGTTGGGTTGGAGACGGGCTGGGTTGTCTATCACCCTGTAAGGTACAGTCACTGTGGTCGATGCTCCTCCTGTACCGGCCTGGGCCGGCTGAATGTCCTTCCTTCGCTGAATGAGTACTTCGTTTTCGCGCCTTCCACCCTGAGCTTTTTTCTCATCAGAACTGATGAACCTTTCGACGGTACAGAACAAATGGTTTAAAGGCTGAGGCACACTGATGACATTCCCCTACAAGAGGTGTGCGAAAAGACGCTCCGTGTGTGTTACTTCCTAGATAAAGGGAGCGCTTTTCGATAGAGTATTGTTAATCCGAAACCTGAGTTATAATAACGGCTGATCAGAAAGGAAAATACCTTTATGAGCCGATGAGAACTCAAAGTAAAAAAAACAAAAAACTACCAAAAGTGCGGGAAAACGCGGCGACCAGATCCTGATTGGTTGAAAGCGTGGCGCGAGTTTTCTGGACCAATCAGAGAGCGAAGTAAAGCAAAATCAATCAAATCTCGAGTTAGTTTGACACCCAATTGAAAATTGCTCTAAGACCCACGAGGAATCATAGTTTTCCAATTATCAGTAACGAATAGCTCCTCGATAGGTTTAGAACCATGTTTGACAAATCTAACTCATTACATTGAGGGCTTCTTACTTGTAGTCCTGCAGCAAATCCTGAGCATTGTAAAGTGTAATGAGTGAGGTAGTACCAGCAGGAATGAGTATGATTGGTGTGCGTGATTCTGGAATTGAGAAAGATGCCGATCAAAAATCAAACCCAATCACACAGCGACGAAAAACAAACCGTCAAGCGAGGATGAATATCGAAGAAAGGACAGTTAGAGAATGCTCTGAAATCTCCGAGAATTACATGTAGCTTCGTTATGTAAAACAATGTAATTATTACAGTAATCGTTACGGTGGCCAATTTACCATTTCAACTTTGTTGATATATCCAAATTATTTAACTATTACAGTTACAGGCATTCAACTGTTTGGAAGGTTTTTTTATTCTCTGATCTGTCTTCTTTTGTGGATTGATTTGATTTGTTTTTTTTTGTTTTGTTTCGCTTTGTTTTTGCCTTTGTTTTTGTTTGTTTGTTGGTTTGTTTTTGTGGGAGGGGGGGGGTGTGTACAAGTTAGAAAAGTCCCTCTAAACCAATCCACATGTGAACTCTTAAAGTTTTAAGACTTATTCATAAATGGAAAAACAAACAGTAAGAAAAAACTGTATATGTTCACACTCTTACCTCGTTTTGGAGGATGATTTGGCTTTTGAGGAACTGAAAATATAAATTGTCATAGACTGTTGCACATGTAAATTATGGGAGTTAATAATTTATTAATACTGTTGCATGATAACTTTTGGTCAATAAAGATCAAGACTGAAAAAAAACATCCCTATCGTTGTTTTAATGAACTTGAGAAATTCTAAGTTTTTGACACAAATTTACTTCCATCTTGATCTACATGTAGGTGTCTACCGTCAAGAGAAAAGCAAATTAATCTTTTCACTCCCGAAATCTCATTTAGTAATTCTCCTTACCATCTGACACCCAATTCTTATGATGTCCGTGTAGAGAATTTGGTTTTGGATCAATTGATAATCCTCTGATTGACATTATCTTTAATCTTCTCAGTTCTCTGTTTGATACTTGTCCTGATAATGTTAGGAGCAAGCCTATCCTTAGCCAAGCACATGCTCTGTTATGAGAAGCAATTAAGCAGCTGCTTGGGCAGAAGTTGAGTCCAATCTGGACTTTCCAACTTTTTTTCTACCAAACTCTACTAACTGGGCGCTTATATTGCATTAAAGCTGTAATGGACTGTAAGAAGTTACTAGTACTCACTGGGCCTGGGGGCTTTGCTCGGCTGTGTATGAGGAGAAGGACTGGGAAAGACTTTCTTGGGTTTCTGAACTCCTTCCTGTAAGTGATAACAAAATAGTTTAAAATATAATGTTGGAGGGATTAGCTCACTGGAATCCAGGGTCCAATTACCCAAAGGGCCAATAAAGCTGTCTAGTGGATAAGTATTAAGAAAAGATACAGCCATATCCATCTCGCCTCAGTTGTTTGAAGGGTATATAAATCTCTATCTCCATGATTCAAACTACCAGTAGTACTCCATACCTTCACAGATTCCAAACTAAGGCCATGGTATGTTCCCATTGTATCAATTTTGAAGCCCTCAGTTTCTGTTGAAATAGTAAATCAAAACTATGCCCTCAGTTTCTGTTGAAATAGTAAATCAAAGCTATTTCACTTCTACATGTACAACTAACATTTTAATTCAAGCTACTTTTGTTTGCCAAAGAAGCAAGTTTGTTAGCTTTGAAATTAAAATAACCAAACAGCAACTAAAAATTGCTACTGGTATCTTTTAACCAGTAATAAATAATATGTTGTAATGCTACTTGTAAGCTCTGCACTGTACCTTCTTTTCCCCTAAATCGTTCTTGATCATATCTGTTGTATGGCACTGGAGTTGCAGGCTTCTTTCTTGCTTCCTGTTTCAAGAACAATTAACCAGTTAACTCTCACAAACTGATTGTTAATTCTCCCCTCTAACTGATAAACATTTCCTTGTAAATAAATTACAAGAATTCGGTGTTAGATCAAGATAACAACTTCAACTTGTTAAAGTTGAGTATTCTTATTACTTGTTTGATGGAAAATGTTTAAATATTTGAGGGAAAAGCTACATGTTCATCATAACTGGGAGTTAAAAGGTTGAGAACCAAAGAATTCCAAGAGACATTGACTATAGCTTCAGTTTATTGGCACAAAAAAAAAATCAAAAGCCACTTTAAAATCTTACTGAATTTGTAAAGGGATCTTGATTTTGAAGCTGTTTTACTTTTCCTTCCTCTTGTGCTTTTACAGATTGAAGTATGGCGAGCACATTCTTCAGAAATTGCTGAAAACATTTACACATGATTAAATGATGAATTACCACAGTCTGTTGGACTGAACAACAATATGGCTTGGCAACAAGGCCAAACCATGAGCACGTTCTAAAGAGATCAGAAAGTTCAAATAGATATCACCTATGGACTAGTTGTATTATTTGTATAGAGCATATCATTCCTCTTTGTCACATACCTTGCCGGAACTCTGCAGAACAGATGTGCGTGTGCGAAGAGGTCGTTCACGACTTACAATATCTTTTGTAACATCAACTTCAGCATCAACAAAAACTCTGTGTTCCTACAAAAATAAAGCAATTCAAATCCATGTTTAACCTTTTACACCCAAACTTCAGTTTGCATATTCTCCCAACTGATCTCCATATATTTCCTAAGGTGCTGAGAAGGAGAAATTGTTTAACAATCAACAGCTTCTTGGATTGGTGATCATTTCCTTTATTCTCATGACCTTTATGTGTGATTCAGGGGTGATATTGTGAGGAGAAATTAGATGCTGGTCACTCTTACGCTGATCATTTCATTTATTCTCATGACCTTAATGTGTGATTCAGGAGTGATATTGTGAGGAGAAATTAGATGCTGGTCACTCTTACGCTGATCATTTCATTTATTCTCATGACCTTAATGTGTGATTCAGGAGTGATATTGTGAGGAGAAATTAGATGCTGGTCACTCTTACGCTGATCATTTCCTTTATTCTCATGACCTTTATGTGTGATTCAAGGGTGATATTGTGAGGAGAAATTAGATGTTGGTCACCTAGTGGTCACAAGATTAATAGTTGTTTCAGAAAATAATATGGTCAGGCTGCTCAATTGTGCAACTCGACATTGCTGTATCAATGCACATATTTGTATACCTGTATACAAGCACCCACAATAATTTTTTAGTCAATGCAAGTAAGGACACATATTAGTCTGTATATTTTCCAGATGGTTTTCTTTACATTTCACATGGCACTAACAAGGAGAATTTGATTAGCAATCGCGAGTTCTTCTAGTTGGTGATTATTTCCTTTAATCTCGTGACCTCGTGCTCCTACTCCGTGGAATGCCTTGCCGGATGATATTAGGCAAGTGGAACTTTTAACAACATTTAAGTCTAACTTAAAACCCATTTATTTAGGCAGTTGTAGTTTTTGCATTCATTAATTTTTCACTAGTTTTTTAATTCACTTTAATTCTTAATTGATCATATTTTTCTATCACTATCATTGTAAAGCGCCGCTGGATCTCTGAGAAGTGCTGCACTATTTTAGCTATGTATTGCACTATATAAGCTATGTATTCTATTGTATTGTTTGATGTAGGAGTGATGTTGCAAGGAGAAATTAGAAGCTAGTTATCCTCAAGGGTCAACCCTCATATCCTCACATCAGCATAATAATAAATAATAAATAATAGATAAATAATCTATTTAAAGTTGATAATGTAAGAAGTGGTTGCTCAATCTTCCAAGCCAGTGGCTTATGTTAAAAACACTCCACTTCAGATCCAATTGGAATTTGGAATGCTGTCAGCATGTGTTTTCTCCACACTGCTCTCTGCAGATTTCCTATGGTACTGAGAGGAGATTTTGTATATCAATTAAGCACTTTTTTTAAAGTCCGTTTACAAGCCAAGTCACCCATCAGGCCGGCATAGAACTCTGGTTTCTATGGCATAAGACAACTGGGAGCATTTCTGCTCCCCCCTGGATGGAATGCTAGTCCATCCCAGGTCACCCCTCAACATTAAATTTGCCAGTAACCATTTTAACACCAGGGTGAAGAGAGGCACTCCGAGAATAAAGTGTCTGTTCTAAGAACACAACACAACGTCCACAGCCAGGGCTCACACCCAGACCACTCAATCCAGAGATCGTATCGTTTTATTTGACGGTGCAATTTTCCATACCAAAACACCAGATTCCAAGTCATCATCCACTTTGATGGTGGTCCTTTTCTTGGCCAAACGCTTAGCCTTGATGGCTGCAATCTTCTCAACAGACATAGCATCACTCAAAGATCTACATTAAAAATATTTAGGAGGAAAAAAAAAAACAGAAGAAATGAGACTGATTGCAAATAACTTTTAATTAAAAAATCAATCAAGTATGACACTTTTCATCAGCCTTAAATTGTCAAAAAAGAAATTAACCACACTCAGAATACTTTTCTTTCAAGCAAATAATATATTTCTGTGTAGTAAAGTTAATAATTTCTTAGACTAAAAAAGAGCAACATACAACATTCTACCTGATTTGTTCTGTGGTGACAGTTCCCTCCTTGTGTCCTTCAAGTCGAGCTTCCAACCTTTTCTAAGGTAAAAGGAAAACAGAATACTGTAAACAGCTGAAGAAGCTACTAATAATAAGGGCTTGTTCACAGGCTAGTGATTTATTGTTCAGTATATAGAATACAAAGTAAAATGTTATGACAAGTTATAATTTTTTTTTCTTTGCATTTTTTTCTGTAACACTTTGTTTTTTTTTTTCCCCTTCAGCACAAGCAAAATAGAACTCAGTACAGCTAGGTAACAACACAGTGAGCAGGTGCAATAATTAAGGCAGAATGTTGTAAAATTACCATACCTTGTCCAGACGTAACTGCTCCGTCTGGAAGATAAAAATGCACATTTAAAGCGAAAATTAGTAACATACCCTTGATTAATAATGCTTGCACCCAGCACAGAGAGATACCAAGTCACATGTAACTTGCATGCTTGTATTAAATAAAATATGCCACATGCATAAGTTCTCTGAAACATTTTTTAGGTAAATCACAAATACCACTTTTAAGGACATACCGTCCAGTAACTTGTATAACTTTTTATTACACGACTTGGGCAGTCAGAGGGCCAATAACTAAAATCAACCAATCAAAATGCTCTATTGCCGGTCAATATTCTCTCAGTATTGGACCAGGCACTGTCCCAAATGGTCCCGAATGATACCGCACTTGTGTCCCTTTGAACTTCAGTCGTATAATAAATCTCTTACTAACCAAGCTTGCTCAGGACCGTACTGGAAGAATATCGGCCCTCGGTCTTTTTTGTACCGACCTCGCTGCGCTTGGTCCATACTGTCAAGACCTCAGGCCGATATTCTCCCAGTATGGCCCTCATGCCTGGTTAATAAGATATATGTACAAACCTCAACTCGTGGTTTCTTGATCTCTCCTCCCACAGAGTCATCTCCTGGCCTTTTTGCTGATAAATGAAAACAAATTTTGAGATCAATATGCATTTCTCTACACTGTTCTCCAGACATTTCCAGTGGCACTGCCAATGAGAAGTTGCTTAACAATGGCAAGCTTTCTCAGTTGGAGATAATTTTCTTTACCGTACTGACCTCAACTTTTTATTCAGAAGTGATAAATCAAAAGGGTAACTAGGTGCTAGCCACTCTTAAGAATCAGAGGGTAAACAATTTTATTTCCAGGAGACACTAAAAAGAAATCCCCCCCCCCCTACACTATTTGCACATTTTCATGCAAAAGGTGAGAAAGGAAAGAAAATATATCAACTAGGAAATATTGATTGATTTAACCAAATTCTCATATCTAAAATTATGAGAAATGTATAGCAGACAGTGCAGAGAATTGATGTTTTGATCTTGAGAGTGAACAGTGAAATGGAAAGGAATAAGATAAAAACCTTGTGCCTGAGCAATAGCAGAGCGCTGGTTAGGCATTTCCAATGGAACACTCTTGTCAATGCTACTTGCACTATCTGTAAAGATTGAGGAAAATAACAACCATGAATTGGTACAATTTCAAAAAAAAAAAATTATAACTTTCTTCAATGGGCAAACCATAGTCACCTTCTATTGGAAATAAGTTAATAATAATAATAATAATAATAATAACTCAAGTATGGACCGCTTTGATGGGAGATGAAAGCACAGTACAAGGGTTATAAGATCAACCAATACGACGTGATCATAGATGTGTTGGGAGGCTGGAGTGTGGACATGGAAAGACCCCTCAGGATGCTCCTAGGTTCTAGATGCAGAGAAATCTAAAGGCTAATGCAGAGATCGGTCATTTCAAGTATGCTCCACATCGCCTGGACATTCAAGGTTGCTGTCTAATTGACTTTAAGATAGATTGTAAATAGTTAGTGAAATTGATAGTAACCAGTGGCCAGTCTTTCTAGCAAATGTTAGGATGTCGTTTTTAAATTAGGTTTTTAAAGGAACACGAGCTGTCTTAATTAGTGTTATTAGTTTCCCACCATTTCTGCACGTTGTATAGTATAGAAAGTTATAATCCCAGTGGGAACATTTGTTACACCCCATGTTCTTTTTTTTAGTAAGCTCAGCATCTAGAAGTTCAGTACTGCGATAATAATAATAATTACAATGAAGATTTCTGTAGCCCCATATTCTATAGCTCGTGGCACTTTACAACACTTAATGGGGACTTTGGCCAGAGTGCATGGAGCAGTTTACCATTCTTTAAAGGAAATTTTTGCAGATTCCCCCAATTTCAGAGCCAAGGCCAGACCACAACACTGAGAGCTACTGTACATTCCCCACTCTTTGCGATAAGTATGTAGGTTTCTTAACCACCCTGCTAACTGGTACAGAGAAGATGCAGGAGATGGCCTAGGTTTTTCATCCTTATCGAAGAAGACTAGAATGTCCAACCATTAACAGATGTCATAGCAAAGGCAGCATATTCTCTTTAGTTATTTTAAGACCCCGAGTTTTGGTCTGGTCTGGGGCTTAAACCTTGAACCCTTTTCATCCCACATAGCTCTAAAACATGCGCTAACCAGGAGCAGTCACAGTGGGTGAAAACAAACACTTAATTCTGATACATGAATTACATGCAAGTGATTGCAATGCTGTTGCTAAGTACACCAACCTGTCTCTCCATTGAGATAGCAGAGTAATCCCTGAAATTTATAAATGGGTAAGTTTCTAAAGAAACTGTGGTGCTGAGTCGGTGGGGGTAACAAGGTAATTTGGTAATATCAACTAGGTTGAAATTGTAAATTGGCCACCGTAGGACTGATAAAGGGCTAACACTCAAAACGTCAGCTTTTTAACTCTTTACAGTGGCCAATTCACAATTTCAACTTAGTTGATATGACCTGAAATTTATAGATGTGTTAACTGTACATTAGGTCATTTAAGACAATCATTGCTCTGTATGTTTATATATGTTGAATTACTACATCCCTTTTAAAATCACTAGTAATCCTTGCAATTTGATCAGCATATTTGGTAAGTCCCTAGTTCACGTAAGTTTTACTATATCTAAAACATCAGTAAAGATGTTATCAACTTCCACTGCTGCAAAAAAATGAATATCCTATGTTTTGTTTTTATGAGCAAAAACAAAGGACCGTGTGTGAAGTTGAAGACTAGTGAACTTTCCTCTGCATTCTCGTTATTATGTTATGCGTAAAGTGCATGTTGACACCTTAGGGAAATAATGGAAGTGGAAATACAACAATATCTAGTCCAAGCACATTCCCATGCCTGGACAAAAACATGACAGTGGAAATCCAGTTCTATTGTGACAACTGGAAGACTTCTCATATAATATTCATTGATTTCATTCATTGAATTTAAAATTTAGAAAATTCTAATGTGTCATCAGACAACAAATGGCCCCTTTGATTTAAGATCACGATAGTCAATGATCTTTGCTGAGCTCCAGCTCTTGTTACAATGTTTTTGCAAATTGAAGCTTTGGTCTGTAACTAACTTGAAAAGTGCTTGAGCCCTTTTGTTTTATGCCACCAATACTGCCAGGTAAAGCTGAGTATTTAAAGTTTGAAAGAAACACATCATCGAGGACGATAACAGGTCCATGCTTGTGGAGATACCCCTTTTCACGGCTCGACACTAACTTTTTAACTTATTATCCAGGTGGTTGGTGACAACTTAGATGTTACAACAATTTCAGTTTGTTTACTAGCCAAATTGGCTAGTAGAAATTGAAAACCACAAGCCAAACCTGAATTTCTACTAGTCTGTGGCTAGTTAGTTACAATTACTGTCATACTATCAAGCCCTGATTGTAGAACTAAGCTGAGTCAGAATCAGCTTTGTGACTCGGAGAATGAAGACCAGGGAGCTGAATTACAACTAATATATGAGACAGGTGCATGTCAGTATTTACAGCTTCTGCAATCACATCATGATGCACCATCACTTTTCTTTTAAAAATGGAAAATTAACCATACAAATAGTAAGAATTAAGAAAATAAACAAACCTTTCTGTCAGGCAATCTCACCACTGGTATCTTTGTACCCTGCCAACATGAAAGGAAAAAGAAAGTTAGAGGAAAATAAAGAAATATCTTAGAAGTGCTAGCTGGTAGGTAGGAAATCCCTAGCTTTATCAGTGATGCTTTTCTAACACTAAACATTGTGAGAAAAAACGACAAAAACAAATAAAAAAACAAATTCAGTTGAGTTGCTTCATCAAGTTAAAGTATAACATATTCATAATATTTTATCATTAAAAGGCATCATCTGGCACCGATATAATCACCCTGATTCTGCAGTCGCACATATGTTTAAATAAGGAAATTTGAGTGTGCAAGCTGTTAGTTTCTCACCGCTGCCCGCTGGACGTAAATTGGATGAGATAAATGCACATTTTTCAGCAGAAACAACAGCGACTCCAAAGTGTAGTATTCCTTAGGCTGGGATCTAGACAATAAAGTCAAATGACATGTTATATACAAGCAACAACAAGTGCCAAATTAAACGAATTTAAGAAAGAGAAAGTTCACGGAAAACACGACAGCTTCCACAACTAAGAGGCACAAATCCACTTACTTGAAAATAACATAGTTCGTCTTTGCTGTTCTTGGAAATGAGAATTCGTCAAATATGATTTCACCCGACCTTTCTATGATCTCTTTCTTGTTTATGTTGTACTGTCGAAGAAGCGACAAAGGGTCCGCCATGGTCGTCACGTTCGAACAGACTGGGAAGGATCGGGAGGATGCTAAGCAATGGGTAGCGGTTACAAAGTCGTCTTTGGAGAGAAACGCGCGCGATAAGCGTGTAGTGACTTGTACCCTTTCAAGATATGAGCAAAAAATCCATAACTTTTCTACTAAAATCTTCTGTTAGAATAGGGCAGATAGCAAGTGCCAAGACAATCGGCAAACCATCAAGAAATTAAGGAAATATTTAAAAAATGCACCTTTACACAGAGACTAGCTCATCAGCCGTGTATTCCTTAATTTTTATTTTCGTTTCCACGATCGACCAATCTAACTCTCTTAACTTGAAAGACGTTTGGATCAAGGACGATTTATTTACTGAGAGTGAAATTTGGGAAATGAAATCTTTGCTAGGCCAAGATGAAACGATGTGGAAATTTCAGCCCAGTGAAGATAATTTGGCGAGTGCTGGACGAAAGAAGCATTTGTCCACTAAAGCCTGCTACAGCTGGTCCGCTAATCTGACATCTCATAATTTTAAGAGCTTTTCTACTTGGAGAAAAGTTGCAGACACACTATCTTCGCACTTTGGAATAAAGGGAGAAAGTAGAATTTTGTCTTTAGAGGGAAAAATCAACATCAGAGCTGGTCATACCTGTAGTGAAAAAGTTACTGAAAATGACAACAATGTCAACACCACCTATATCGCTATAATTTTTCTTGTACAGAACTGGAGACGCAATGCTTACGGTGAGCTGATTGTATACAACGGGGATGAAATCATGAAAGCTATATACCCGAAAAGAGGAAGGCTCGTAATTCTCCATGCCTCTCTAGAACATGTTATCAAGCCTCCAGCGATAGACTTGTCTGAGAGATTGTATTTTATAAAAATTCACTTTTCAATTTCAGATGACTTTAGGCATTCTCAAATAAAAGAAAAGTTACCTGACAATACCTCAAGGAGAGATTTTAATCCTCTAGAGGTTTTCCCTAGCTTTAAACTTTTGACCAAAACTGACACAACCACTGATAGACCCCTGGATATTCAGGATTTTGTCACTAAGAATTTCACCTCCAGCAATGGCCTTTCCATTGTTGTTTTGGATGGTATTCTTCCTCCCAAAGAACTTGATGCTTTGAGGCAAACAGTTGAAAACAACGGATACAGTGACAATGCAGCTGGTCTGGACAGCACAGATCAAGTGCAGTGGATCATGGCATTTGAAATTGATGACTTTGTACAAACCTCGTTATGGAATGTGGTCAGTCAGATTGTGACCTTTGTTTCTGGAAAGGATGGTTATTTTCCTTATGATATTGGATGCAATAATATTCAAGCCACAGACACAACTACAATTCACATAGATAGTGAATTTAATGAAAATGAATTCACATTGCTGATTTATCTCAATCAAGACTGGACTGCAAACCATCATGGTGAAACAGTCTTCTTTGATGATGAGGAGGGAAATGAGGTGATATTTGCAGTGAGGCCAAGATATGGACGTGTTGCCATTTTCCATGGATCAATTCCGCACAGTGCGCGACCACCCCCACTACTTATAGAAGGTATGGAATAAATTCACCAGAATTACACAGGCTATGAACTTAACTAAAGCTTTTTGGGAATTTATTACTGAGAGATACATAGAACAGACTAAGTGATTTAATGGTGCATTGGGCTACAGGGTGAGAGCTACGGGTTGGAGACATGGTAAGGTTAAAGTGCCTATGACACTTATTTTTTTTTTTTCTATTCTACATCAAAATATGACTCTGAAATATGTTTTTGCAACATTTGTGGCATTTTGCTCTTTTCTGAATTTTTTATCAAGCTCTATAATCCGCAGATAAAATGTCTGGCCGAGCAACGAGGGACTGGGCGCCATGACGTCACAGTAGGAATCGTGTGGAGAGAAGTATTCTTCATCAAGTCAGGGGTATTGGAAAAACCCCAAACTACACATCGAAATGGCATTTTTTGGCTAAAAAGATTGTAAACAGTAGCTTCCACACTCACTTTGCTTCAGTCTTTGATAAACTTGAATAAAGGCTGATAGTTTCTAAAGAAACTGTTTGGGGCTGCATCGGTGGGGGTAACGAAATAATTTGAATATATCAACAAAGTTGAAATAGTAAATTGGCCACCATTACGATTATAAAAGCTGACGTTTCGAGCGTTAGCCCTTCATTGGAGCGAATAGAGGAATTGAGGGTTGTGTGTGCATTTAAAGGCAGAAATGGAGCTACGTGATTGGTGGGAACATGGCAACAAGAAAAACACGAATAAATTAGTGGAATGAAAAGTGTTCGTTGATACCTGTTTGAAAGATGAGCTTTTGTTCAAGAGTTTTACGGCTTTCCATGCTACCTAAGTGTAAGGAAAGACCGCAGATTGCCATATGTTGCTTAGAATGATTAGGTAAATTAAAACGTCTAGCAACTGGTTTCGATGTGTCCTTGTCATTCTTCTCCATGTCGCAAAGGTGTTCTCGGAATCGGTCACCTAGTCTTCTGCCTGTTTCACCGATGTAAATCTTTTTGCAATAAGTGCAAGTTATGCAATAGATTACATTGGCGGAGTAATCTATGCAATAGATTACATTGGTAAACTTGGTGTGACTACTGTTACGTGACAGGTTCCAGTACTCTTAAACGCGGCCAAAGAGATACAGGGAGCCTAAGTTCAATACAATTTCGGACTTTTATCGCCTCATAAAATAACAAAGATGCATCTTCAGAATCACCCACAAAACTTACCAGACACCCTCTACATACTTCTATTTTTATAATACTAAAAAAATAGGTGTCGTAGGGACTTTAATGTGTTGTGCTCTTGAGAAAATGGGGACCTTAACCAGTCAGGACAACAAAGGCAAAGAAAACTGAAAATGAAACTGAAAAAAAAACAGAATTTAAATTTAAAGTAAGAATTTTTTGAATGACTGGACATGTTTACTGTTTCTCACAGTGCCACACCTCAACTTGAGCATTACCTGTGTGAGGGGGGGTTAAAAATTTAAACTTAAATAATTTGGAGTTGGTGTTTACATTTTTGGACAACATAAATTTTGGTGATTTCACATCGTTGTTTGGCAGAGGAAGCTAAGAAATGTACGGAGTTTTAAAATGCAAGTGCTGAGCTATTATTCTGCCAATTAGATATCTTGTTCTGCCACATCCGTTAGGCTGTAATTCTCAGTGAAACCTTCTAAATGTCCTTTTATGAAGTTGATATTGTCATGACATTGCTTGAATTTTTTTCTTTTCAATTTTGTAGGAGCAAGGTTCAGTTTTGCAGTCAAATTGGCAGCATCTGAACAGAATGCAAGAAAAAAGGCTGACTGGTTGGATGTAGATGTTCTTTATGAAGCTCTGGAAGTTTTACATGGGGATGAAGCAGACAAATTGAAAGCTATTATTCATGATATTGAGAATGGGAAAATGGATGGAGAAACAAAAGAAACTTTAGTGAGAAAGTATGAAACACGATTAGAAATGCGCACAAAGCAGCAGAGTGAATAGGGAGATGGAGTTGCTTAAAATTGTTCAGAAAAATATAGATGTATTATTTGAGTTCTAATAATATACATGAAAACATTTCTCGGTTCTGATTGGTTAAGATGAATGCAGTTTTCAGTTAATTCAGTGTAGAAGAGAGTTAATTTAGTGCAGAAGAGGGTTAATTCAGTGCAAAGAAAGAAACAAACCAGACATTCTGATTGGTCAGAATGATTGGTTAATGTCAAGGTCAGTGTCAAGGTCAATGTCAAGGTCAATGTCAAGGTCAATGTCAAGGTCAATGTCACTTGCAGAGTTTGAATAAATTATTTTTGCACATTAGGCACGTGCTTTTCTTCTGCATAGTTATGAGAAGCTACCTCGTATTTTTGCATGTATATTATTAATAGATAATCACATGATTTTCTGGTGCAATTTGGAATAAATGAGCACTTGTAAATTTTTTCAAAGACCACAAATTGCACTCACCCAACAGGCTTGTGCAATTTTGTTAGTCTTTGAAAAAATCTACTTGTGCTTATTTATTCCAAATTGCACTCGAAATCATGTGATTACCTATACAAATACACTTGAAAATTTTAGTTTTGCTCATGAGATAAACAATGAATGAAATCTACTACACATGGTTTTCAAAATTTTGCTGGCCTTTTAAAGATGACAGTGAGAAAACAGCTTAAATTACTAAATTGAATAGAATTTATAAAATTGACTGAAATTACAATTTGGCAGCTTTGGTAATTTTTGGTACCTAATAATTTTGGTTGTTTTGCAAAGGTGTTTCTTGTCAACTGGTTTCAAGTATACCCCTCAATGAAACGTGAAATCACAAAAATTGAATTCAAGTTCTGATCTGCTTTTTATCCTACACTTAAAAAGGAATTTCTTAAAACCTTGGCAATTAAGTGTGTTACTTAACACTGAGTAATTTGATGAGTCACTCTTCACTTAAAGAAAAGTCCCTTAGGGTATTTCCATTCTAAAATAGTTTGTCTGGGAGGCACTTCACTTAACTTCATGAACGTTTTCTTGTAGAGAAGCCTACTTTCGGATAAACACAGTACTCAGTTTTTTTAGATTCTGCAATAGACCTGTAGTAAAGTTTTGATCTCTTCTGTGTTTTCTCATTTTCTTTCCTTTCTGGTTCAGAGAGGGTTAAAGAGCCACAGGCAGTTAAAAAATAGTTTCTTACAATAATAAATAGGCATATGGTCCATTTGTAATGTGCTTAGTGTCGTGAAGGATCAATATGGTGAATATCTGTCGAGGAAAATGCACTGCTTTTGTTGCTAGGTTAGGTTTCTGAGTTGTAGGTAGGTTTTCGCAAGGGTTTTTGACTTGATCACGGTGGTAGTCTTCACAATTTTCTTTTTTTAGTCTGCCCCATTTGTAGCGGTTAGTATTACAATATTCTTACACCATTTTGCTCCTTTTAAACGCACGCAACTTTTGTTCATTATTTATTCATTTTTCAACTTTGCCGAGCAACAACAATCAAAATAAATAAAAAAAAAGATGGCAAAAAAAAAATGGCAGGGCTACCTCAACAGCACAGCCAATTACAGCGGTCATTAGGTTTTAAAGAAAGCTCAAAAAGATTAGTTGGAATCTGATATCGTACAGAGGCTGTGTGGCCGGGAAGCTGGTGACCCACTGGTTGCCTTGGTTTCAAGTTCTGTACCTTGCTACTTGGTGGAATTTTTCTCAGTTTTCCTCGAGTTTGACTCCGTCAGTTTTAGACTCATTTTGGAAATCATTCAACGCTTGTGTGACATCCCCATCGACAGAAAACGGAGTGACATCCCCATCGACAGAAAACGAGGGTAGCTCCATTGTTGCGCTTTAAGGAAAGCCGAGCAGTTTGTCTCTTTGCATGCAAATAAGTCATTTAATAGCTAACCACTTAAAGTGCACCTACACTCAAAAAATTTTTTTCGCTTAACGAAGTAAGCTTATTTTTTTGAGTATCTCTGCGCAAAAATTTTTTTATTTGCTCAAATCTTCAATTTTCTATGCCCAGTCAAAATACGGAAAATCGGCAGCCATCTTGCCCCACGACCGAGTTTAAAGAAGAATGGCTCTAGCGGGTAATGTGACGTCAAATCGAGAACACGAAAGTCTGCATCTCACACATTTTCACTTGTTTGGGAAGATTGTCGTCGATATCGTCCGAAATATGCCGACTAGGTGTGTTGTATGAAGATTGTATGGAGCGCGATACCCTCTTGCAAATTTCGCACGTTGCTACATCCTTCTACAACACACTTAGTCGGCATATTTTCGGACAATTATCGACTACAACCTTCCCAAACAAGTGAAAATGTGTGAAAAGCAGACTTTCGTGTTCTCGATTTGACGTCACATTACCCACTAGAGCCATTCCTCTTTAAACTCGGTCGTGGGGCAAGATGGCGGCCGATTTTCCGTATTTTGACTGGGCATAGAAAATTGAAGATTTGAGCAAATAAAAAAATTTTTGCGCAGAAATACTCAAAAAAATAAGCTTACTTCGTTAAGCGAAAAAAATTTTTTGAGTGTAGGTGCACTTTAAGTGGTTAGCTATTAAATGACTTATTTGCATGCAAAGAGACAAACTGCTCGGCTTTCCTTAAAGCGCAACAATGGAGCTACCCTCGTTTTCTGTCGATGGGGATGTCACTCCGTTTTCTGTCGATGGGGATGTCACACAAGCGTTGAATGATTTCCAAAATGAGTCTAAAACTGACGGAGTCAAACTCGAGGAAAACTGAGAAAAATTCCACCAAGTAGCAAGGTACAGAACTTGAAACCAAGGCAACCAGTGGGTCACCAGCTTCCCGGCCACACAGCCTCTGTACGATATCAGATTCCAACTAATCTTTTTGAGCTTTCTTTAAAACCTAATGACCGCTGTAATTGGCTGTGCTGTTGAGGTAGCCCTGCCATTTTTTTTTTGCCATCTTTTTTTTTATTTATTTTGATTGTTGTTTGCACTTTAAAGAGTTTGTATAGTGGTTTAGTTGGACTTGCTTTTGAGCTCCGTAAATGTAAAGTTGTGTGAAATAATCAAAGAAATAAAGTCTTACCTTCATAGAGAGAAGTCTTTGTTGTTCTCCTCGCGATTTGAGGCCGTTTTGATGTGTTTTAGCTTGACGCCCTAAATTACCGTGTTTATGCACGGTAATTAATTAAAAATTACCGTGTTTATGCACGGTAATTAATTAAAAATTACCGTGTTTATGCACGGTAATTTATGCACGGTAATTTAGGGCGTAGAGCTAAAACACATCAAAACGGCCTCAAATCGCGAGGAGAACAACAAAGACTTCTCTCTATGAAGGTAAGACTTTATTTCTTTGATTATTTCACACAACTTTACATTTACGGAGCTCAAAAGCAAGTCCAACTATACCACTATACAAACTCTTTAATTATTCACTGTGAAAGAGCCTGTGACAGAGCTTGGGCCACCTGTGGTCAAATTAGACGTGACAAACGGATGTTGCACAAATCGTTTCCTACTATAGAGGTTTTCGCGTGAAACTGAGGCATATTGTAAAATAAGACTGGATTGGATTTGTAAACATGGACTGGTTTTGTAAAATATGGACTGGATTTGTAAAATATAAGCACACGGAATTTTGTTTTTAAAACATGGATTTGTAAAACATGGATTTTTAGCTACCAATTCAAACACTGAAAATTATCCGTGTTTAATTTCTTTCTTGCGACCTTCTTCAATCTTTTCATGTGTTTGCTGGATGTGGAGTATTCACTTTTTCACGTATTTGAGTTAACTGAAAAAGCTCGGTCCAGATATGTACAGTTACTATAACAAATCTGGAAAACATTTCGAGTATATGGCGCTTAGATAGACTCCAGTGTTTTATTCATCTCATGTTAACCAGGAGAAGAAACAAATGTAAAGTCAGCCAAATAGACGGTCCCAAATGTCCCGCTTCCAAGCTCTTTAATTTTTACAGAGCTCCACGAGAACTCTGAAAACTCAAATCCACGTCGCCGTTCTCTGGTCAGAAATAGAAGTTTAAAAGAAGCCGCCATCTCCTTCCTCGCACAATAACCTATCTTCTTCCGCGTAAATTTAAAAGGTTCAAATTTATTTTCGACAGAGGTCTACAATGCATTTTTCAAATTACGATCTTTTGGCAGCCTGGTTGTTTGTATGTCACGTACACTTTTGTTTGTTCCATGTTTGCCCTAGTAAAATTACCTATTCCCGTGAAACGTTGGAAATCGGTCTTGACCAGCTCCTGTGTGTTAAGATGTTGATAATTTTAAAAATAAAAACGCGCCGAATGCATTGTAGAGTTAAATATATAAGCACGCGGAATTTTGTTTTTGAACACGAGAGAATACCGAAAATGCTGAGAATGGTTACTCGCTGTAAGCGAGTGCTTCTCGTATTTCTTGATTATTCTTAAAAATTTCCAAATAATATTACTCAACATCAAACAATCTTTTAGAGAAATTATTAGGTAATATAAAATGAAAATAATATAAAGCAAAACAATTAAGATTAAAAAGGGACAGACAGAGAAGTAAACAAATAAACAGTCGAACAATGCTATCATGTTTTACAAATCCATGTTTTACAAATCCAGATTTTACAAATCCATGTTTCATGTTTTACAAATCCAATCCAGTCCATCTTTTACAACATGCCTGAAATTGAATGTTAGGTGGAAATTTCTCCTACAGAATTAAATCTAAATGGAATCGTTCCGTATACTTTCGGACTGTTCTGTTTACACACCTGTGTTTTCACCAAATTCATCAGTGAAAATGAATTGCATCCATGTATCAAAATTACAAGCATGAACACAATGTTGAGAAATTAATCGATGCTGGGAAAAACTTCGGCTGGAATTTGTCTTCGAACTATCAGGCGGAGTCGAGGTACATCAATGTACAATTTGCCATTTTGATGTGTTATCAACGTTTACGTGACGTTTTCTTGATGAACAAAAAATGGCATGCCATTAGTGCCCTATTACAACTGGCAGTCAAAAACAAATAAAACCGTTTATGGCCATTTAAGTGCACTTTAAAAACATTTGTTTTCTAAAAGCTGTTCATATTTCGGACGCGGCAGTACGTGGAGAGTGAAAATGGGCGATTCGACTCAGGGATACACCGATTTCACAAATGCTATGCCTACATTTCACACGATTCAGCCCTTTCCATGGAGCGATTCAGACTATCTTAATAACTATGATACCCCCACGCCGCCAGATCCGAACAGCTCCCAATTCGTCAAAGTTCTGAAAGGGATTCTCTTCATTTTGTGTTTGATAGAAAATAGCATTGCCCTCTATATTCTGTGCAAGCACGTCCGAATTGGTCGCAGCAAAACGTTTTTCCTTTACATGTTGATCAGCATGGCTTGTGCTGATATCTTAATAGCCATCTTTGTCTACCTTATGACTAATGCCGCGTTTTCTCATCAAGGTAAAGACGTTTGGTTTGTTAGCAATGCTCTATGCAAGATGTACCTTACCTTTAATCAAATTGCCTCCAGGGTTATTGCACTTACTTTGGTCGCTCTAGCTTGGGGCGCCATACGAAACTCCTCCTCCAAAGGACGAAAGAAACATACCAGAAAATTCAGCGCTATTACGACGTTTCTCCTTTGGGTGATAGCCACAGGTTTCTCTTCCATCTACTTTGTGTTTAGCGAGGTTGACGTTAATGCATGTGGAGTTAGTCCGGAGGGAATGTGGCTGGTCATCCAACTTGGTTTCGCTTTTGATGTCACTGTTAACTTGATTTTAACGATTCTTTGTGTCGCTGTGTTTGTCCGATTGAGACGAATGAAGAAGGAAATGCATTCACTCAAACGATCCACAAAAATTGCTGACAAATCAAAACAGAAACAACATACGAAGGATGATGATGGCAGCGAACTGGATCATTCGGGAGAGTGGCGGGAAGAGAAGCCTGATGAAGGAAATATGACAATCTGCGAAGGCCTTAAAAAGAGTTCTTCCAAACACCCCCTAGAAACCTTCAATATGGAGACCGAAAAAGTTATCCGGCCTGCCGGCGGAAGTGTTCGTGATGGAGATGCACAGAGTATCACCAGTCAATCTACCCGCGAACAGAAATTAAGAGAAACGCGAATGGAGGCAAAAATTACCATTGCAATATCCATGCCTCTCGTTGCTCTTACCCTACTGTCTTTATTGTTGCCTTATTTGATGAGGTTTCTGTCATACTCCCAAATCGTCCACGTTTCATTTAGCGCGCAGGTAGCTGGTGAGATTTACGGGATCATAAAGCCAGCTATTTACGCCTGCATCGACAAGGAATTCAGGAAGAGATATATGGAACTGTCTCCATTCGCTTGCTGTTGTTTTAGGAAGATCTGTCGCGGGTCATTACAGCCGGGTGTGGCAGCTGAAAATAGTCGTGTTACACAAGAAGGGGGTGTGTGAGTAACAAACAAGCTGTTTGAGAAGGACTTTTCGGTAGTTTTTTATCAGTATTGCCATGGAGAAAATTAACTACACTCGGTATTTCTGTGTGTATACAAGAATCTTAATGAAATAGCGATTGAAAAAATGTTAGTCAAACTGCCTCAGCTTATGGGACGTTTGGGTTAATCTGATGTATGTATTCTAGCACAAATTTTTTTTTAAAGCACTTAAGATCTTTCCTTTTTTTGTAGGTTTGTAACCTCGCAATCTGATTCGCTGTGATTTAGCTCTGGGTGCGGGCGATCACCGGTAAATAATCGTGTTTCTAAACCCTGGCAACCCTGATTATCAAGAGGATTTAACAAAGCTTGAGTTCTTTGACTGAGAAAAGGTAGCGACTATCAACGACAATAAGAATACACACAAGAACTTTGTTTATAGCATTACCTCTAACATTCAGGGTTTAGCCTTTTGCAGTTATAATAATGAGATTAAAGAAAAGAAAGGGAAAATAATGATTTTCTAAATTACAAAATTTAACATCCTAATCGTAGTCCAATTATTAATTGACGTATTTCCTTAATTGGAAACTTCATAAATTATGTAAAATTTACGGTGTAATTTCCCACACGCGAAGGAATCATTGTTGTAATATAAGAAAACAACTTTTTATTATGATCACTTACTCGGGTTAAAATGTCAAATTTTGATAGACACTCGCGCAAATAAAGCTTCATTTTGTAAATCTGCATGCGCAAGGAGGACTTGTGTGGTTGTTTTTTTTGTCCACTCTCAGAATTAATATCATTAGAAATTCTCTTTATTTTCTCCATACAGTTATTATGATGTTAATTCTGAGAATTTGGTTTTGAATCAACTAATAATTACCTAATTAACAGTTTCTTTAAGCACTAGAACACATTTTTCCCGGCTCTATAACGTGATAAGGCCACGCGGGACGTTGGGAGAACAAGTGGAAAGCTTCTAAATCACAAGGCGAACATCCCAAGTGGATTTATCACGGTAAAAAACCGGAAAAATCCGTTCTATTGATGACATAACAAGTCACATGCGAGCCCTATAAATAACCCGATAAAACATCCGCTTGGGAACAGAACTGACCAATCAGACGATGCGTACTACGTTCATTATGTCAGGATATGTATTTGTGTTTTGTGTGCTTGATATTGTATTGACATTATCGTAAAGTTTCTGTTTTGGCCGGCCATTCCTGGGAGTTAAAAGTCTTTTCATAGCCTATTTCGTTTCCTTGTTTGGTTTGTGTGGAAGAAAATCCCATCGTTCAGCACGTTGGCTAAAAAAAGTTTGTCAGCAAGGCTGAAGGTCTCAAGCGAGGGGGAAAATTAATTGTGAAATGTTCAGCAGGCAACCGTGGACGATACTCCTACTCTTGTACGTTGGATCAGCGATGATCTGATCGGCCCAAAATAACGAATATGAAATATAAATATAGAGGCAAGACCGATACAACGTAGATAAGTAAATTTTAAGACGGAGCACTATATTTCGGCAGGCCAAACCAGCCTTCTTCAGGTGCAACGGAGAATATTGGGGTGATGCTTCATAGATAGCTGTATGATGTAATAGCGGAAATATGTAAAACTAATTTGATTGACAATGAGATAACAATAAAAATAGAAATAGTGAGCAAATTATGCCCGAAAGTGCAATTTTGGCTTTCAAAATATGTTGTTCTCTTCTGCAAGATATACTTCAGTCTTCGGAAGAAAAAGCCAATAGGCAACCCAACCGATTATGAGAGGTTATGAACACCTCCCTCCCTCTACCTACCTTCGCTTATCTCTCTTTTTTAATATTTTGGGAACGTTTTGTCATCGTTGAATAATACCCTGACATGTGGTTTACACACTTAGATAAAAAAAAAAAAGGATTTAAGCTTACGCCTATTAGATAAGCCCCTTGGTTAGTGTCTATCAGCGAGACCATTCCCAAATCAAATAAATCTTTGGATGGGTTATCTCGCTCGCTCCTTATCAGACCTTCGGGGCTCTAAACCACGCTGCGGGGATCTTTTTAAACTCTAGATCAGCAGACCATGGAACCAGCGCAACCCATGTTTAAAGCCACCCCACTTTTTGCCTTCTTTCCAACGATAATATTTGTCCTTGGTTTCTTTCTTGAGTTGGTCATTCTTCATGAAATTTGTGAAGTGATGAAGATAGAACTTCGAATGAGCTATAATGTGTCATTATGTTACACGATGCGACATCAATACGCATTTTTTAAACGGAACCCCAAATGAAAGAGAATCCTGAGAAAAATGTTTAATGTTGAAGGTAATTGCAGAGGGTTACAAACGCAGCTACCAAATTATTACAAACAGCCAGTTACTCGCTAAAGTCGGATAGCCAATAAGTCTAACCTTCGAGAGTCTGTAAACGCAGTAAACGGTAGAACATATGTACACAGAAAATCACCGTCAATCGGTTATTGCGGTCAAGTTTCATTCCTCGCAAGAATATTTTGACACTTTTATGCGCTTGAGCGAACATTAGTGCCCGCTATGATGCAATTTTGGCTTCCACAGGTTCCACGGGTTCCAGAAGTTCCACGGATTTTAGAGGTTTCATGTTCAGCTGATCTATTGTTTATAGCCACCCTGCTGAGAGCCTAGAGACCAAGCTTGAAACATGATATATTTGATGATAGCTTGACGGCGGCTACTTCTCGAGAAGCCGGGTTGTGTTTTTTTTACTGGAACGTGCAAATTTGCATCAACTTGAAAGAGGAATCTGCAGAGATTATTCTGTAAGTTTATTTAAGCAAATCTTTGTTTTTTTTGTTTTTTTGTTATCTCTTTGGCTTTGTGGTAAACTGTCACACGCGATAACCAGACGGTTTCGCCGGAAATAATTCCACGTCTGCATAAAAGAGGCACTGCAGTCTACGTGTTTCTTTGAGTTAAAAAAAATCGTGCTGCTATAAAAACATAGACTTGGAGACAGTAAAAAAATGGGGATATGATGCCTAAAAGCATTGTTTGCCTATCGAAAATTCCTTCCAGCCCTCATGCAGAGGTAGTCTTTCGCAATACACCGTTTTTGTGATGTAACGCAACTCTTCTAACCGCGACAAACCTAGGACTTTGGAAAGACTGTTTTACACTTACCGTATATGACTTCGATTTCCTGGGACATTCCTACCCCCGAGTTATCCTAGATCAGCTTACTTTTCACTTCATTCTTTGAAATATTCAAGCAACTGTTTACATGAGAATGGCGAACCCTTCTCAGAGCTCGAGACAACTCTGGTGGGCGAGTTATCTCGCCCTGGCAGGATGACCTTGTCAGGCGGAACAACTCAATTTTCTCATATCAACTCTTTGGTTCGTCAAGCCTAAACGGGACTGCTTATCATTTCAACCGGTACATGTGGCGCATTTTTGATCATATTCACTTGTTAATTTGCGCTATACAAGCCCTAAATTAGTTTTAATTACTGTTATCGTTCACCACTTTATTCAACGGAAACCCTACTGGCTGTTCTGAGAATTTCTGATGGGTGCTGGGGGACAGCTGTTAAAACTTACACTCTAAGGGAACCCTCTGTAAAATTGTCTCGAGGGGTAGGGGTGTGTTTCTCAGATACCCAGTATTGATCGAAATGAGTATCTAACGTTTTATGAGTACTCAAGTCTTTGCCTTTGCTTTCGCCAAGATCAGCGTTTTGCTTTATTTGTTGATTCTTCATTTCTAAGGTTAACTGCGTGTCAAAGGCTAACCCGGACCTACAATCAAAATATCCTGAATATTTCTTGGAGAGCTTGAGTGCTAAGATCATTTAGAAATGTTAATCGAAGGCGAGGCGACCTTAATCGCTTTTTTTAACCATTAAATCCAACCGGAAAGGATCTTAGTTATTTGACCTCATTAGTCATAAAAATCAATTTTTTACCTTGCGCAACACAAGTAATTTTATCATGCGTTTTCTGGCGACGGGCGGGGACCGGCGGCACACGTGAGGCAGGCGCATAACGCAGAACATGCACGTGAATTATAAAAGGCGCGAAAAGGAAATAATTTTCTTTTTGCTTTCGCTTTGCGCTTGTCTAAGCTGGCCTGAAGAGATAATGTCGTTGTTGAAAAGACTCCCAAAATGCCATCAGTTGTTCAAGCTAAATTTAGTTGTGGCGTTGACACGAGAGAAGGACCCCTGAGAGAATCTACTCTAATGTAGGTGTCAGATCACCTCTGTTTCAAATTTCTGCTTGGCCTGCTTGTAAGGACTTTATTTCAAACACTGTTTATATTTTTAACTCATGTTTATTTGACGAGCAGAGCAACGCAAGTCAAATATGCTCCCTATTAACTCAACTCATCAGAACAATCCATCGAACAGCCTAAATGATATCAGTTTTGCAGAATTTCTCACTTGTGTAACTGAAAATTCCCGCATAAGCTCGTTTACTATTTTGAACTGAATACTTTGACTGGCTTGATTCAGGCTTTATTGTCGACATTTTAACTTTGCATGTTCCATTCCACGATCTATGTATGCTATTCCATTCTAACTCAAGGTCACAAAAGTCGCTACATTTATTTTCTAAGGAAATCCACACCCAGATACGTTATCCCGTGTGGGAGTCAAGGCTTGCCGGCTCACGTCCTACTACGATTCGTGGACACTAATTTCCTATCAAATGTGGGTTTACTTGACAATCATGCTGCCATGTTCCTACTCTCGCATTAAGCCCTGGAAATACCTGATTAGATACATCCCTGTTTTGATTATTCTATGCCACAGTCCTTCCTGTTACATCCTATTTTAACGGTAACGAACTTATAACTTACTGGATTAAAAGTATAATAAACAAGGAGGAAATCAACTGAATTTTGAGGGTGTAAATACTTCACGACAATGCAATGCTTCGTTATTAGCAGATCACTGTCTCCATTCGGTGGGCTTTCTTTTGCCTTTATTGAGGTTAAATCGAGTAATAAAAACCAAATACAGCGATTTTAATTACCCTTCACAGACTCTACCTGACAAAAAAATCTGAGTAGACCCTGTGCACTACCTCAAACTTGCTCGGTCCTATCAATAACTTTCATTTCCCAAAATTATTACCTTGGATCAAGCCTGAAGGTTTTAGAGTCTTCAAGACTGTTTTCACCTTGTTTTTCTGGCCTACATTATTATTATAATTTTGAAATAATACCAGATTAGTCGCATTAAGAGCGGTCAAGAGCCGGCTAAGTGGAAACGCATCGATCAAACGCAATGACTAAAACGGGGAGAAAATGTCGAAACGTAGTAAAGCCAGTGCTGAATAAACGTCCACGGTAACTCACTACCTTCCGCTTCAGACAGGTTTTAATAGATAACGCAATAACAAGGAAGCTGAAGTTTCCGTTAACCATATTATTACTGGCTACCTTATCAGATCAATAGTAATAGAGCTGTCTTCTGTGTGTTTTCGGCGCATTGTAAAGTATGGGGGAACATTGAATTTTTGCGGTGTTTCGTGCAAAGTATTATACTTGCGGTATCGACCCAATTGCATCTGGCTAGTTGATATAGTTTAACAAGTAGAGTTTGCGTGCAATCTAAGAATCACCCGGAAATATCGAATGTAGGGTTTGGGATCATTGGAGCTCTGTTTGCCTTCTTAGTCTGTTTAGCTCGCTCGATTGATATCCCCTGAAATTACAGGTTTGTTTTAGTTCTGATCTAGAAGATATGAGCAGATAAACCAGGTTTCACCTCTTTCACGACAAGAAATTTCACCTGAAATTTCTTGTCGTGCTGTAGTACGATTTTTTCCATGTAGAGCTTCATAAGGAAATATTCCCTTGAAACCCTCTTCAAAAACGAAAGAATCAAGATGATTACCCACGAATATTAATGTTGATTTTCTAATAGTTACAATTCATTAATTGTGGCAAAGTCAGTAGATATGAGCGGTCATAGAAGCCGGCAAATATCAAAGTTGATTTTTAAAATCAACCTGCCAGAAGTTTCTATTCGCTATTGGGCTCAACACAATTGGATTGCTTCGGAAAGTTGCGCAAACAAATATGTTTTGCTGACAAATATGCTAACAAATATAGCTGGTGCATTTGTTAACTGGGACTATAGAAATATACATATGTATCTAAACTTATGTCTACCGGGTATTTATCAAGAAGATTCGTGTAACTTCCCTCGCTCTAGAAATGGAGCACTGACGTCAAAACCTTATTTGGCATTGAATCAAAAAGTATTTCGCCATATTTGTATTCTGCGGTTGATCTTAAATCCGTCTGAGAGAGCGCAAAAAAAGTGTTTGTAAAAGATTATGTTTCCAATGACCTGATCATAATTTGCATAGTTCCACTTTCAACAGGTTTAAATTCCTTACTGTCAACTTTCTCTATATAAAGATTGATTAATCGATGGAGTGTTAACTTTTGTGTCTTGAGCACTATATCCGATTCAGGCTTTCCGGCGCTTTCGCACTCACAAATAGGTTATTCGCTGGTATTAAACTGAAGGGGAGTGTAAAAAAAAAAGATGGTTAAATCTCTGCAATTATCTGAATTAGTTATAACATCACAGAGGAGGTAGTCTGGATAACACCATTGTCGTATTCGTGAAGGATTTTTGACAACAGCTGTCAAGCTCCGTCACATCAGATGTTGTTAAGTCCTAGAAGTCGCGGCATGGTAAATAAGCACCGGATTTTTTTTTTTCTTTAGAAGAGTGTATTCATATTAGCGTGTTATCTAGTGATATCCGAAATAAAGAAAGAAGTCGAGACTCATAGTAGCAATTTGGCGCATTAAGCTTTCACAGAAGTGATCGAGAACCTAGTTGTTACGAAGAGGAAGGAAAATTCTTAAAGAACAGATTTCTCGACATTTCTAGTGTGCAATTTAACACTTTAAAAGTTTAATTCCAGTTTGACTGGATTTTCGTGCCTGGGAGTTAAATTACCATGAATGAATATTTTATGCATTATTGGCGTTAATTTAACTTAAATTTCATGGTTTTGAAATACCTTTTTCTTCACTTCTCCAAGCATTCCTATTGCGTCTTATAACCGTGCAGTTTTGTTACGCGCATATAAAAAAGCCGGCCGGCTTAGAGCGAGTTAAAAAAGTAGGTGAGTTTGTGGGCAGATATACAGAGTTGTTTTCTAATCGTGTGAATTTGAAAGGGTTGTCTGGTATCATAGCAGATATTATGAGATAAATCATTTCGTGGATGAGTCTAAACGGTCAGAACCCTGACTGGCCACGTTTTGGATTTTGAAGACAATTTACTCCGGTCCGAAATCACTCACCGGAAATGAATATCATAGTACATCAAGAATTCCATTCTAATCGAAAACAACAGCTGTAACTTATTTCTTTAATGGCCTTGTTGGCTCAAAACTACACACAAGTTTAAAACCTTGAAAAGTAAAAAAAGAGTTGATAAAAAACCTTGATTGGCATGTAGGGTTATTTTTTTCTCTTCATGGGAGCTTCACAATTTAGTTCGTCTAAAAAAAAAACAAGAGCACTCGCTAAGAAAAAATTTTATGCCAGACTAACCAAACAGGCTATAACCTTTTAATGTTGGCCAATGTGAATGGGTCGTTTGTGATGTTAAAAAAATGCGTGACCTGACTTTTCTATAATAGGCTTTAGTGAGATCGCATTCCCGGGGGTCGCACTAAGGATATAAAATCATTGTCTGTTCAAATACGCAAGCATTGAATCTCGGATTGCCGACATTGCGGGGCTTTGCATGCAATCCCTCTGACCGGAAAACTATAATCTTGGTAAGATATTCTGTTAGGGCGCAATGGAGTTCCAAGGCTGAAATCAGAACGAAGGAGCCAGGGAATGTTTTTCAAGAAGGTGATAACCTGCTTACTGAAAGATTTCTTTTTTTTTTTTATCATTACAGGAACTTCCTCGAAAAAACGGTTAACATGAACAACACAACAAAGCAAGATCCCGGTATCACAGAGTCATTTATCCCCTTGCCTTCCAGCTTCGTGTATCCAGTGGCGACGTGTTATATCTTAATCGTGGCTGTAGCTGTTATTGGTAACATCATGGTTTGCTCAGCTATACTTATCAACAAAAACCTGCGCAAAATGCCCACAAATGTTTTCATTTTCTCCTTGGCGTCATCGGACCTTCTCACGGCGACCCTATCGGTGCCATTTGACATAGAGGGGCTTTTTCTGGGATGGGTTTGGAACCATGGAGAGGCGATGTGCAAGGCCTGGATCACGGTTTACCTAATTACCGTACCGACCTCGATTTTGACACTTTTGGCCGTGAGCGTTGATCGCTACAAAAGCCTTAGCGATCCTCTCAACCGATACCGCCGCTTAGGGTTTATGACTCATAAAAGAGGCATCGTTATTAATCTAATGATATGGCTCTACAGCATCCTGTTCGCCTTACTCCCCATCATGGGCTGGCGAACATCGCATAATTTTGTTCTTGACAACGCATGCTTGTTTCCTTTCCCACCGGTGTACCATGTTCTCAGCTCCTCCTTGAATTTTATTTTACCGCTGATAATCGCCTGTGGTATTCACCTCAAGATTTACCGCCTGGTATGCAAGCAGCTGAAGAATTTCGACTCAAGTCAGCGCGCTGAGAACAACGACAGAGAGCCTTCTGAAAGAGAGCGGAAAGTTTATTTGAAAAACATCCGAGCCTTTAAGACGACGTCGATGTTTGTGGGCGCTTTCTTCCTTTGCTGGGTTCCCTACTCATCTGTCAGCATTGTGGCTGTCTTGTGTGAGTCATGCACTGCAACGATCCCGCCTGAAGCCAGAGTGGTTCTTTTAATGATTGGTTATTTAAACTCGGCCTTGAATCCCTTTCTGTTCGCTTTTCGGAGCAAGCGATTTAAGGCCGTGTACCCGAATGTCTTCGGGTCTCCTAGACGACTTGCGCGGGTAATGTAAATCGTCATGCTCTCTTTAACACCCCTATCGATTCTAGAACTAGGGCGTGTTTATTTAGATAAGATTTACTAGTTTGTCTAGACTGAGTATAAAAGTCGTAAACATGTTTTTCGATAGTTGCAACAGAACTGGGAGCTCTCTTTCAATAACAACAATTTCGTTAGTCAACATTCCTCGATAAAAAAGGTCTGACTCATTAACCCAAATCAAACAAAGATAGCAGTCAGGGCTTGAAAATTACATTAAGATAAGCCATAGGAAATATTAATAATAAAAAAAGAATTCAAGTCAGCTAGTTATGTGATCATCATGAATCGAGTGATTTTTTTGGAAATTTTTTTTTCCTACGCGAAGACATTCTGGCATCAGTCCTTCATGTATGAAAACGGGCGAAACCATGCACTGTAAAGACTGCATCACATCAGCTCCTCGACAGAATATTTCTCTCTGAATGGATCCAACGCAAGTATTTCAAGATTCTTTGCGAATGCAAAGCCTGCTTTCGGCAAATTGTTTTAGTTCTAAAACGACTTGCGTTCCTCTGACATGGAGTTTGCCTGCTAGTGCAATAAGATGATCCTTTGATGAACCTTTCCTCGCAATTAATTGCAAATCGAACATTTCGAAAGTTTAGCATAGATTTTGTTTGTTTATTTTGATGTTGTTTTGTTTGTTTTGTACATGCAGCTTGCCTGAGTTCCTTATTGCATGTAAAAGGGAGGAGTTTGTCATGAAAATTTCTCGCTCTTCCGCCCTTCTTGACTAGCGGTTATTTGTTCATTACATGCCTCCAATTTGGGCGATATTCAGTTTTACCGGCTTCCTAAGGATTTTTTGGGAATCCAAAGCTCTGACCAAAAATGTCAGGCACTAAAGCAACTCTTTTTTTCTAACACTAAACATGCCTGCTATATTGGGAAAACATCAAACTTGTTTAGTCATACGCGATGACAATTCCAGCAGTACAGTTAAATGATTGCCAACATTCTGGTAAAATCTACCAGTTAATTGCATATTTTTACATGAAATTTTTCAAACGATACTTGGATTATTTTCATCAATCAGGAATAGCATTGAACAACGGTGGGGCTTGCAACTGATTCGTATTGTCTGGATGCTATTATTTTTTTTAGTGTCACTCAGTTCTATTTACATACTGACTCCGTCAACTTCGGGCTATATATAAACCGTTGCGAGACGAAGCATACCTAAATATTCCCGTTTTAAAATCTACTTATAGTAATTTGTAGAATTAGATTTTATGTTACCCTGACTTGAGTTTAGAAATAAACCGTCGTGGGACAAAGAGTACTTTTTCTATTCTTTTTTAATCCTCTTATAATAGTTTATCGAATTAGATTTTATGTTACCATGACTTCGGTTTAAAAACACACCGTAAGAGACAGAGTTTACCTTATTACGTATTCTTCCTTTAAACATCTTACAATTATTATAAAATATCTATAGTTAACTCAGACTACGGTTTAAAAGTAAACCTTCGTGACAGCCGAGAGAGTGCACCCATTACACTTGTTTTAATTCAATCAAGTTATTTGTATGACCAAATTGAGTTACATAGACTACGGTTTATAAATAAACTGGCGCAAGACAGACCTTTGTGTTCTAATTTTAATCTTCTTATTATAATTATAATAATTGTTTGAAGAATTACATTTTTTTAACTAGGTTACCTTGCTTTAAAAATGTCATCGACTTCGGTTTAAAGTAAACCGGTGTATGACTGAGAATAATTTAACATCATAGGTATGAAATGATCTTGTTATGACGATTATTCCTACATCATGTATGAATAAAATACAGTTTATGGGGATGCAATTCTTTGTTTATCCGTGTTGTCTCTTCAACGTAAATATCCTTTTCTTCTGTTCAAACGGGGCAAAAAAAAAAAAAAGTACAGCCGTCCTCCACTTGTTGGTCCGGGTAAGGCAGAGGGAATGAAGAAAGTCAGCAATTTCCATGTTTTAAATCTTAAGAGAAGACTGTGCTGATTGCAACATCACATCTGTTAAATAAAGGGCAAACCAAAAAATACATACTCGGTTGAGGTGTTGGAACTGTTTTTGATTTACGAATAACTTTGTAATAGAGAGATCAATTCTATACAAGACAAAACAAACTCTTAAAAGATCTTGATCTTGTTTTGATATCATTTCTCAATAATGTGATTTCTTGCTACCACGTTAAAAGAGGAAATTTACAAGTCAATAAATTGAAGGCCGGTAGCATGTCCTAACAACGAAAGGTGGTAATGAAGGTCTGAAGCTGGAATCCTAATAAAAGATTCAGATCAGAGTTTCCGTCAGTCCCACATCCTTCTAGTTTGATAAATCACCATCAGAGATCTCTCTAAACCTATTGAAGTACCTTTCACTCTTTTAAGTTGTTCACCTGGACTCTAAATTTAATTTAATTCACCATTATTTCTAAGTGTTTTTTCGCGAAAGTCTAACCAACAGGTCATCGAATCTCGCAACCACTCACGCAAAATTCAGCTACTCGGAGTTGTTTTTTTGTTTAAGTTATTTTACTTTGTGTTGCTGGGTTTATATTTAGGTGCCAAATAGAAGGAGAGAAAGCTCCAGGGAAACAGGTATTCTACGAAATTCTCAACCCAAAGTAGAATTGAGTTTAAACTGATTTGTCGCCAGCGTGGGAGAACTGAGACAATTTGAATGAAAAAAATAAATAAATAAAAGATAAAACTTTACACTGACACACATTTTTTTAGTCCAAATACAAGCGAAACAGAGTCCATGTCTTCCTATGCCCTACATCAAGTCGGCCATATCTTACAAGTGTCCTCCAAAATGCTTGGATCAGTTATGTCGAAAGCATCTTGTTTGTACATCATTTGATCGGGACAAATGATAAATGATAAATGTTGAGTTCGGCACTCGCCCGACAAAGTAAGATGTTATCATTATTACGATGTTGTTGTGTTCAAGGTAAAGATTTTTATCAACCTAACGCTAGGTTTAAGACAACTGCTAAAAAAAAATAACAACGAAACCGGCCTCTTTTCCCTATTAGCCGGCGGAGATGGTTGAAGTCAGCCTTATGCTTGGATCAGTCAGCACAATGCTTGGATCAGTTATGTCGAAAGCATATCGTTTGTACATCATTTGATCCGGACAAATGATAAATGTTGAGTTCGGCACTCGCCCGACAAGGTAAGATGTTATCCTTGATACGATGTTGTTGTGTTCAAGGTAAAGAGTTTTATCAACCCTATCATCTAAGAGAACTATTAAAATCTAACGCTAGGTTTGAGACAACTGCTAAAAAAAATAACAACAAAACCGGCCCCTTTTCCCTATTAGCCGGGAGAGATGGTTGTAGTCAGCCCTATGTTACAAGTCAACAATGCTTGGATCATATATGTGCACGATCCTTCGCAGTAAAGCACTATTTAAGCAATAGTGAAAATCAGACCTGAAAAAAATTCAGGCCTGTACGGGATTCGAACCACTGACCTCTGCGATACTAGTGCAGCGCTCTACCAATTGAGCTAACAAGCCAACTGGGAGCAGGCCATCAAATTAATTCGACATAAACCCGTAGATGATAAATCAAACAACAAACATATGAAATACATATATATGAACTGCGGTTATGAAACGTATATGTGCACGATCCTTCGCAGTAAAGCACTATTTAAGCAATAGTGAAAATCAGACCTGAAAAAAATTCAGGCCTGTACGGGATTCGAACCACTGACCTCTGCGATACTAGTGCAGCGCTCTACCAATTGAGCTAACAAGCCAACTGGGAGCAGGCCATCAAATTAATTCGACATAAACCCGTAGATGATAAATCAAACAACAAACATATGAAATACATATATATGAACTGCGGTTATGAAACGTATATGTGCACGATCCTTCGCAGTAAAGCACTATTTAAGCAATAGTGAAAATCAGACCTGAAAAAAATTCAGGCCTGTACGGGATTCGAACCACTGACCTCTGCGATACTAGTGCAGCGCTCTACCAATTGAGCTAACAAGCCAACTGGGAGCAGGCCATCAAATTAATTCGACATAAACCCGTAGATGATAAATCAAACAACAAATATATATGAAATACATATATATGAACTGCGGTTATGAAACGTATATGTGCACGATCCTTCGCAGTAAAGCACTATTTAAGCAATAGTGAAAATCAGACCTGAAAAAAATTCAGGCCTGTACGGGATTCGAACCACTGACCTCTGCGATACTAGTGCAGCGCTCTACCAATTGAGCTAACAAGCCAACTGGGAGCAGGCCATCAAATTAATTCGACATAAACCCGTAGATGATAAATCTACGGGTTTATGTCGAATTAATATGACCGCAGTTCATATATATGTATTTCATATATATTTGTTGTTTGATTTATCATCTACGGGTTTATGTCGAATTAATTTGATGGCCTGCTCCCAGTTGGCTTGTTAGCTCAATTGGTAGAGCGCTGCACTAGTATCGCAGAGGTCAGTGGTTCGAATCCCGTACAGGCCTGAATTTTTTTCAGGTCTGATTTTCACTATTGCTTAAATAGTGCTTTACTGCGAAGGATCGTGCACATATACGTTTCATAACCGCAGTTCATATATATGTATTTCATATGTTTGTTGTTTGATTTATCATCTACGGGTTTATGTCGAATTAATTTGATGGCCTGCTCCCAGTTGGCTTGTTAGCTCAATTGGTAGAGCGCTGCACTAGTATCGCAGAGGTCAGTGGTTCGAATCCCGTACAGGCCTGAATTTTTTTCAGGTCTGATTTTCACTATTGCTTAAATAGTGCTTTACTGCGAAGGATCGTGCACATATACGTTTCATAACCGCAGTTCATATATATGTATTTCATATGTTTGTTGTTTGATTTATCATCTACGGGTTTATGTCGAATTAATTTGATGGCCTGCTCCCAGTTGGCTTGTTAGCTCAATTGGTAGAGCGCTGCACTAGTATCGCAGAGGTCAGTGGTTCGAGTCCCGTACAGGCCTGAATTTTTTTCAGGTCTGATTTTCACTATTGCTTAAATAGTGCTTTACTGCGAAGGATCGTGCACATATACGTTTCATAACCGCAGTTCATATATATGTATTTCATATGTTTGTTGTTTGATTTATCATCTACGGGTTTATGTCGAATTAATTTGATGGCCTGCTCCCAGTTGGCTTGTTAGCTCAATTGGTAGAGCGCTGCACTAGTATCGCAGAGGTCAGTGGTTCGAATCCCGTACAGGCCTGAATTTTTTTCAGGTCTGATTTTCACTATTGCTTAAATAGTGCTTTACTGCGAAGGATCGTGCACATATACGTTTCATAACCGCAGTTCATATATATGTATTTCATATGTTTGTTGTTTGATTTATCATCTACGGGTTTATGTCGAATTAATTTGATGGCCTGCTCCCAGTTGGCTTGTTAGCTCAATTGGTAGAGCGCTGCACTAGTATCGCAGAGGTCAGTGGTTCGAATCCCGTACAGGCCTGAATTTTTTTCAGGTCTGATTTTCACTATTGCTTAAATAGTGCTTTACTGCGAAGGATCGTGCACATATACGTTTCATAACCGCAGTTCATATATATCTATTTCATGTATATTTGTTGAATGCTTGGATCAGTTATGTCGAAAGCATCTTGTTTGTACATCATTTGATCCGGACAAATGATAAATGTTGAGTTCGGCACTCGCCCGACAAAGTAAGATGTTATCATTGTTACGATGTTGTTGTGTTCAAGGTAAAGAGTTTTATTGACCCTATCATCTGAGAGAACTATTAACCTCTAACGCTGGGTTTAAGACAACTGCTAAAAGAAAAACCATAACAACAAAACCGGCCCCTTTTCCCTATTAGCCGGCGGAGACGGTTGTAGTGATAGCACAATGTACTTTGTACTAATTCTCGTGTTTTCATGTTCTGACCCTTCTTATTATGGCATTGAAATGTTAGCGTACCATAGAATGTCACCCTTTCGCTCTTTTAGAAGTATTAGGATTTTTTTTTGTCATTTCGCATCACCAATTAGTGCCTTTGAACCAGCAGATTTTGGCACGTAATCAAGTTCACTTTGCGAACACTTTTCCCCTTTATAATTGACTACTTCGACAATTTCAAGATCATGGAACATGCTAACTCAGTCTCTGCGTATGTTGAATTACTGAGTTGAATAACGCTGTTTGCTTTGCTGCATCGTTCCAGCCCTACAAGACAACACAAGGTGTTAAATAGGAAAAAAAAAATGAAAGAAACTTCCAAGCAAATTTAGAAGAGTACGAGAGCTATGTCCTCGACCGAACACTGGTGCAGTTTTATGCCGATTTATGAAAAGAAAACGGGGATGAATACGAGCCCGACTGCCTGAAAGTAATGCAGGCATCACTGGAGAGATATTTAAAATCAAAAGCCTATCCAAAGTCCTGGTATCTTTGTGCAAAAATATAAAATTTCATTCAGCGCATTCGTGCGTTTGTGGCCATTGATTCTCTGTCAACTTTAAATGGCTTCCTATGACTGATTACCGAAGAGCGCATTCAGAAATTCAGTAATTTTCCCCTCGACTCGGGCATTTTCAGCAACTTCTGAAAACACGCGTGATATTAATCCATAATTTTACTCGGCCCCTTGCGATTACCTATATTAACAGGCTACCACTCTACCATAAAGAAGACGTTCTCGAGAAGAGTGTTTTTAACTACTAGTAATTATTGAAATTCGCCGAGATTAGCCTCTCTGAGAGAACATTTACCGGTGATCCAAAACGTTTTATCCCGCCACTGTTTTGATATAAGTTACGGGGCACAAATCTGTTTCCCTTGCCAGAGTTCAGATGTGAGACCCTCGCTACTTTGTTCATCATTACCAACGTCTGTCTTTTCCTTTGCGGTTTAAACGAAGCTGGGGTTATGAACGACAAAATTTGTCTCCTTGTTTCAAAGGGGATCTTTTCCGCAGTGACTGTAAAAACTGAAAACTCCCCCTCTATTATTTCATAATTTGGGCCCACACTACGTCTACCGACATCCCTAAGGTTCTAGCAATGAAGTTTCCAATTAGCTATAGCTCATCCGATTATAAGCCTAAACTCCGATTTGTCGGCGTAATGCCACGCTTGTTTACCAAGAAGGCCAATTTATTTGTTTTGATATGCCACAGTTTTACCAAACATCTCATAAACTCATGCATGCTCATTCTTACTTAGCACAAAATTTGGGTGGATCTTTCATGTTGTGCAGTGACAAGCACGTTTTTTTAGTTCAGCAAATGAAATTATCAGCTTCTTTCCGAGTATCAAGTGTCTACAGCACGTATTTCAGCCTGTAGAATTCGAGTAAAAGAGAGCATTTAGTCTTTTCCTAGCAGATTCAATTTAGCCTAATCAGGGGAACGAACTAAGCCGTATCTGTGTATAAATAGTCGGTCACGAGTCGTCTAATAGGCTTCGTGGGCTAAATGCAGATCAGACTAATCTCATTTGTTGGGACCAGACAGAAAGGGAAAACAAGCTCATCAGACGGACGCCACATAAACCTACCACCCGAATTTTCCAGAGTTTTAAATCATTTTCTAACTCAAACCCTCACGTAGAAGTGAAGAAGTGCCTGTGTAGAAGTGTAGAAGTGTTGAAGTGTAGAAGTGTAGAAGTGAAGTAGAAGTGTAGAAGTGCCTGGCTAGCTCACAGTCGTTCGTACGGAATAAGATCGTGCAAAGCCCTAATAAAGTTGCTTACAAACTAATGAATGTCTTCGCTCTTATCACCAAAATACCGGTTGCAAAGGCGAAGAACCGTTTCGCAATCATGTGACGAGGACTAGCTACACAGAGTTATTGGAAATTTGCTCCGCGAGGAATTTTGTCATAAACGGAGATGAGTTCAATTGCAGTTTAAGTGACTTACTTTGAAGCTCTTGGCTAGGTGTTTCGGATTTGTTAGAATTTTGATTCAACACATAATAAATTTTGTGTTTAAACTATATTTTCGTTTAAAAATCGCCACTATGTTAAGTGACCCGTAATAATGTGTCCATCAAACTAAATTGAGAGTGGCAAAAATTAATATTCCCTTCTTATTTAATTTAGTTTAAGGTGCTTAACTTAGTAACAAAATTAGTACTGATCCGTTAAAAAAAATTATACTTCGTATGTCATTGTAGGTGCTAGCTGTTTCAGCTCAATACAATTTACTCTACCGACGATCGTGAGATGCAATATTGAAATAAACCTCTAAATACCTTAGCTATAGACATTTTCTGGCTTGCTAGGAAAGATATCCATCTCCGAACATCCTGCAACACAAACGCACTTGCCAAGAGATAAACAACAGTACCTCTAAGCCAATAGCGTATACTGTTTTAAAAAACTGAAAGGGCGGACAGGAAACCCAAAAAAGGACATAGTTATACCGATCAGTCATTGAACCTTGGGTCAGCTTCTGTTTCTGTGTGTGTTAACTTCGGACCTGTAGTTTATCAGAAACTTAGACGACACGACTGAAAACCTGCAGAAACTTCCAGTGAGAGCTAATTCTGGAACGACTCGAGAAAATTAGAGAAATGCTGAAGCACTTTGAATCTCAAGAGCAGAACACTTCAAAGCTGATAAGCAAATCTTGGAAGCCACCACAAACAACCACATAATTCACGATAAACAGGATAGCACAGGTAATTTTCGGAAGAAAAGATATCGATTGGCGGGCAGAAATCAATCCATATTATTACTATTATCCATAAAACAGTTGGCTAAGAGCAACGTTGCTGATTGAGCCATCTGTCTTTTGTGGCTATCGCGCTAATTATTTAAGGGAAAATTTATTCCTAAAAATAGCTTAAACTATATTTTCGTTTAAAAATCGCCACTATGTTAAGTGACCCGTAATAATGTGTCCATCAAACTAAATTGAGAGTGGCAAAAATTAATATTCCCTACTTATTTAATTTAGTTTAATGTGCTTAACTTACTAACAAAATTAGTACTAATCCGTTAAAAAAAATTGAGGATTGTTTGCCTCGATAGTTAGCCACTCTTGGTTGTTCGGCAGGCTGTATAAAAGCTGATATCTTGGCTGAATTTTAGGTTTAATTTTGGCGTGAGACCGAAATGGGAGAAGCGAAATATAAATTTAGCATGGCAACCTGGGTTTCTATTATCTATTAGCATTTCGCGGAATAACACGACGCTGCGGGCAGCATTTCCGGGAGTCGGATGTCGAATAATCTCGAGCATTGGCGGTGTTTGCAATTTCCTCGCTGACTTTCGCTAGGGTATTTACAAATGGGGCTATGATTAATGACCGGATTTCTTGATTTCCTGAGAAACTCTCACGTTCTAAATGTTCCGACTTGTGTGGCTCTTTTGATATGAAAGAAACGAACCGCTAGGATGTGACCCAGGTAATTTGTTTTTCTACTCGGTACTTCTGTATCGTTGGTGAATGTGTTTTGAAAATAACAATTGTCTTCTTTTCGGGAAGCGGAGTCCAGTTCTTAGGGTAAGGTACTCCGCATAATTTCATTTGTCAAAAAGCGCGAAATTAATTATTCAGGGAATTTATTTTTCGCGTTCTGCTCTGGAGTTTGACCTAGACCAATTTTCAGAAACCACTGCTAACACACTTATGTACTGATTAAAAAAAATTCTAAAACCTTTCTCACGAATTCCAGACATGGAGGAAAAATGTAATTTCTAACGTTTGATTGACATGGGAACGAATTGGTCAGAAATAAATATTCTGATGGCACGTGGAAGAGGTTCGCGTGGTATCATGGTAGTTTCCGAATGAGCGTTTTGCTGGAAAATTAAGTCATACTGGGTCGGTCAGTTTTAGGTTTGACCACTTTCTTTATTCTTATTTGATGTTATTTTGTTTTACAACTCCTTGTAAAACATTACTACATTTATTGATTTTTCTGTGTGACTAGTCCCCTTCTCTCGGGGTACCGTGCCTCTGTATTAGTTAAGGAATACGTCTCCACGTATTTTTTGGCCTCTTCTAAAGGGAGTCTTTTTTAGTGGTTTTTCGTATCTGGCCTAGCTCAGGGTCTTTTTGTAGAACCCTTCAGTTTCAGTGAATACATTCAGTGCATTGCAGATTGTAGTAGGATGCGTATACTATAAGACAGGCTGACTCCTCCTAAATAAACTTTTCACATCGAGTACCTCCGCCTGAGTGTAGTCAGAATGGCCCCAGTTTGAATGTAATCTCTCTAACTCGCTTGGACGAGAAGGATGCACAATATGACACCAGAAAACGGACCACTCAGAAAGCTTTTCGATAAGTCAAACAGGGAGCCAATAAGAACTTAGGTTTAGGTCAAGCAAACTTTCTGAAACGCGGGAAAGCGCCAGCGATCACTTGGCGATTGTTTTTTTTTTTTTACATATGATTGCTTGACGGGATGTTGAAAAGTCTTCTTTTCTTTCGCCACTCGAATGAGTATTTCTCGAAAGAAGGAGGGCACTGCTGTTAAAGCCGGTTGGCAGTCACATCTAAACTCTCTCGAAAGATGCCAGCATATTTATTCAAAATGAAACAAAACAAAAAAGCAAATACGGTCACACGGCCCTCCGATAAAATTGCCAACTTCAACTCTAACTTAACTTTATTGCTGGTATAATACATGAATACAAGATAACTGTATACGTTATCAAAACTGTGCCAAATTTTACGAAAGTCCGATACATGGTAACCAATCTTTAGATTTCCACAACAGTTTCATTGTTTAGTTTTTCTCTTTCTATTTCGTGGTTTATGTTTCTTCGTCTTTGAGTCCACGAGCTGCTGTGAGTAGCGTTTAATAGCGTTTCTAGAGAGAACATCTTCATCTTCACCGCTGTCCTCGTCATCTAAAAAAAAAAGAAATAAGTACACAAATATTTAATAAATGATACGGTATGGACAAAACCTAAACCATCTCTATACAACGAACTTATCATCCCTGTAAAAAGAGAACTACGTGCAGAAATGATTCTTTGAATAATTTTGAGTACAGCCTCTACTTCAGATATCTAACTCCTTCGCGGTCGCTAGGCAACACGATATCCCATTCTTTGAAACCCTTATGAGAAACATTTTCCATGCAACACAGACTCAACTTTTTCTTAAGTCGGTGTTTTAAGTACTACTCAGCCTCGTCGCCGTGAGAAATGCTTGTAAATGGAAACAAGACTTGAAAAAAACAGTTTGCTAAGGTAGACAAACAACAACGAGGCAGGAACGAAGAACAAGAATGAATATAAACAAAAAACCCACGATTAACACAGTTTGTAAATGACCAAGTAGATTGGTTTGATAACATACAGAAACAAAAAAGAGGGAAAAATGAATCAAAGAAGGTGTAAGGCGCATGCTTTAATATTTAGACGGATTGTAAATGACTAAAAAAATACAATTTGAGTAAGGTCATTCGCTTGTGGGTTACAAGATTTGGGTACGATAGAATGACATAGACAAGGCAAACACAAAGAAAGACCAAGAATTTCTCAAGATGGAATGAAGTAACACAGCTTAAAAAATAACCACAGAATAATTGTTTGGTAAGATAGAAAAATACAAAACAAAAATTAATAAATAAGAAGGGATAAGTACGGTTAACGATGGAGAGGATTCGGGTCGATTGTAACTGACTGCAAAACAATTCAGCGAGGGAAGTTTCTAAAGAAACTTTGGTGATGCGTTGGTGGGGAATTTCACCCTTTCACTACCAAGATCCCATGAGTAATTCTCCTTACTGTCTGCCATACAATTCTATGTTATTAGTTTGGAGAATTTGCTATTGGGTCAAATAATAATTCCCTAATCATTACTTTTCTTTATTCGCACCAATTGCCTGCTTGGGATTACACTGATAATGTAAAGAGGTCTGTCTTGGGTACCCATGGAAGTTAAGGGGTCAACAAGATAATTTGCTTTTATCAACTGAGTTGATAATGTTAAGGGGCCACCATAAAGAGCATTAAAGCTGACGTTTCCAGCGTTTTCCCTTTGTCAGAGCGGAAGACGAAGGGCTGACGCTCGGCACCAAGAAGGAACAGGAACGGATTAAGATGGAACATATAGACACAGATAGAAAATGACGAAGTTGATAAATCAGGCTTCACCCTTGAACCCCCTTGGTGTGACTAGCATATAATTTCTCCATACATTACCACTAAAGAATCAAACATTTGGGTTACGAGAATACAGGAAATGATCACCCACTCAAGGGCCTCCTGATTGTTAATCAAATTCACCTTGTCATTACCATTAGAAAAGTATAGAGAACAGTATGGAGAATTGCAACCTTGGGTGTTAAGGGCGACACCCGTGACCTTACCACCGCCACCAACCGTTTGTTAGCGTGTTTCATGATTGCCTACTTACCGTCATAAACAGCCATTCGATCAGATGTAGTGGGTAGCTTGACTCGAGTATTAAACTGTGGTAACTTATTCTCCATTGTTGCGCGGAACTGTATGACAAAAAAAAAAAAAAACACACACACACAGTTAGGTCATGTATTTCCTCACGTCTTACCACCACCTTTATCTACTGAATTTAGAAAAAGAAAAAAGCGCGACCGAAAATGGAGATAACTGAAGAACTAAGTTTAAAATCACGTAAGATTTAATGTGAAATACAAGGTTCCAACTCGTCATAATTCATATAGGGTCACAAGGAATTAAAACAAGCAGTATGTACAATTTACTTAGGAGAATTAGGCTAGCACAGAATAAACACGATAAAGCGTAGTAAAATAAGTCTCAATTTCTGGAGGCTTTAGGGCTTAGCTGTGAACAATTGTAATAACAACCCAATCACCACTCGATCTATCGCGTTTTCCCCTGCTTAAAAAATTGTTTGTCTTAATCTTACGTTCTCATTGCTCCCTGTATGACAGTGAATCGAAAAGCTTTCTTAGCGATCCTTTCTTGTCCTTCCTTAGAATCATTTTGCGCATCCTTCTCGCGCACAACTCCAGCGTAATGTTTTCAATAATTTCCATTCAATTGTCGGCCTCGCCTTTTTCCTTCTTTGTTCGAAAATGTCAGATAGCTCTGGATTCCGGTCAAATGTACTGAATTGAGTCATATTGGTAGCTAAATACGAGAACTGTATACCTCGCGAACATTCACCGAAAAAAGCCCAAAGTATCGCAAAAATCGTTCGTTTACTTCGGTTTCCAAACTTCTAAGATGTCCACTTTCACGAATATCTTAGAGAAAGTAAACATTCAAATCCGTTTAACCTGCTTTTTCAATCAGTTGCAGGTCATTATTTTTCTATCTAAAAATGGTTTCCAAAAGTGTAGATGTGCTTCAAAATAAAGCTACATTTACCTCAGCATCCTCAATTTCTTTCATAACATCACTTATATCTTTTCCACCCAAGTCGTCGGTCAGTTTGAGTAACTTCTGTTCGCAAGTGCCAAGTAAGTCTAGGATGTACTCGTCTGAGGTTGGGGACAACTGAGCCTGCGGTACGTGACCCTTAGGCTAAAGTGGATGAGTAAAAAATAGTTACTACTTCAAATTAGCTACGCTAGTCTGCACTAGCCAAGGGGTACTTATATGAGGTTCCAGATTTGGGGCGAGATATGCAAGAAGTATGATTACACCACCTCATTCATAATACTGTTACATTAGTTATTGCACAAGATGTTAATTTCAGCAGCTTGGCTCATTGAATATCCGTTATCACTAACACTACAAGCAGAGGGCAAAGAGAGAAACATTCGCAATAACTGAAGAAAGGAGGAGGGAGAAAATGACACATAACAGATGATAATCGCGAGAGCACGTGATCATTTACGAAATGGCACGTGAAGCTTCATAAGGAGAAGAAATGTTGAAAAGATTTTACCATATAATTGGGAATAGTACAGGTTTTTTAAGAGGAAGAAGAGTCAAACTCAACGGGTAGAACGCAAACAGTCACGGGGCAGGCGCGGAAAAACGCAAAAAAAAAGAGGAAAGAACGGGAAAGTATGGAATGAAGGACAAGGGAAAGCGCGGGAAATTAAAACTGAGCGCTGAAATCTGACCACTGAAGTTTTAGCCGGCAACAGTATTACTAAGACTTACACGTAACGTTTACTAACCGCTATGTGCCCACTAAAAACACGATTCATATGCTCACATTTTTTCCTAGAAGCTGACTTGGTTACAGTTTGTTCTTACCGCTTTCAGGTGTTGCAGTTTATCAGCCAGATGTTCAATTCCAGCTTTAACATTGACAAGAGTCTTGTTAGCTCTTTCTTGGCGGTCTTTTGCATCTAAGCAGCTGATACAGTGAAACAAACCACAAAATGAGCTCAAGTGTATTATATTTCAAACGTACCTATCGAGGTGCGTTTGTCCCTTAACACTCTTAACATCATGCCCTGATTATTAAATATGTATTTAAAAGATAATGAAATAAAAAATAACAACAGTAAAAGAGGGTTTCCCCTCACCGTTTCTCTTCATTTGCGAGACGTTGCTGAAATTCTTCCAGCATTCTTTGTCCACTGTGAAAATAAAAAACAAAGGCACGACGGTTATCCCCTGTCAAGTATCCACCATAGTTCTTAACTGTAAACAATATATATATAAACTTCTGTTTATAGTAGCTTAGAAATTAACCTCATAAGCGAGTTCTCCGGCTCTTTTCACAAGTGATTAAAATGGAACTTTTCCCAATAGTATCCATACTTTATCCAACAAAAAGGTAATGAGAATACTCAAGCTTATTAGGTAGAAGTTTCTTTCTTGATCTAACACTGAATTCTCGTAACTTATTTACAAGGAAATTAGCAGCAGCCAGAGGGGAGAATTGAAAATGAGATCTTAAGAGTTACAGGGTTAAATGGAATGTTCACGCCGGCTACCAACCAATCACCAGCAGGGCGCGACACTAACTTTTCAACTTACTAGCTAAGTGGCTGCTGTCACAACTTAGATGTTACAACAATTTCAGTTTGTTTACAAGCTGGATATATCAACAAAGTTGAAATGGTAAATTGGCCACCGTAACCATTACAAAAGCTGACGTTTCGAGCGTTAGCCCTTCGTCGGAGCGAATAGAGGAATTGTGGGTTGTGTGTGCTTTTAAAGGTAGAAAATGGAGCTACGTTATTGGTGGGAACATGGCAACGAGAAAAACAAGAAAAAATTAGTGGAATGAAAAGCGTTCAATTTAATCTTGTTTTTCTCGTTGCCATGTTCAACCAATAACGTTGCTCCATTTTCTGCCTTTGAAAGCACACACAACCCACAATTCCTCTATTCGCTCCGATGAAGGGCTAACGCTCGAAACGTCAGCTTTTGTAATCGTTACGGTGGCCAATTTACCATTTCAACTTTGTTGATATATCCAAATTATTTCGTTACCCCCACCGACGCAGCCCCATACAGTTTCTTTAGAAACTATCAGCCCTTGTTTACTAGCTGAACTGGCTAGTGGAAATCGAAAACCACTAACCAAAACTGAAGTTCTACTAGTCTGTAGCAAAGGGGCTACCGTTAGTACAAGTGTTGAGCCCTCACTAGTGTACAGTCTTGATCCTCAAACTTCAGATTGTTGAAGTTTGAGGATCAAACCAGAAAGTGCTGATTCAGAAAAGCTTCATTCTATGCACATTTTGAACTGGCTGGCTTTATTTTACCTTGACAACTTGGCTTCTCCAGAATACTTCATCTCCTCATACTCCATTCTTAATTTTTCCTAAAGAAAGCAGCATGATATGCCATTAGCGATGAATAACAATGCCATTAAGAAGTTGACACATTTTTTCTGTTAAAGCTATCTCTTTTAGCATATGGTCTGGCATACCGGTAGTCATTGTTTAAACAGGCCACCATTTAAACTAGCTCAAAAAAAAGCTGAACTACGCCAGCCTGTCTATTTATTAGAAAATTAATAAATAAAGACATAAATTAATCAACTAAGTCTGCGGTACCTTTTCCTCCTTAAGTCTGACAAGCATTTTTTCATTGTTCATCTTGAGTGTGTCCAAATGCTTCTGGGTGTCACCTTGAGACAGGAAACGCTGTACCACCTCCTTGATGTCAGACACCCCTGTTGTGTCCTTTATCTTGTTCATGGCCTCCTCATAAGTTGTAATCTTGCGTTCTTGTTCTTCCCCAGACAGTACTGCTTTTTGTTCTGTTATAAACAAACAGATTGAAAAAGATATAAAGTTATGTGTTGTTCAAGTATACATCCTTATAGAAGTAAAGAGAAGATATTGAGAATTTTTGTTTTAGCATCAAAACACAGTATACTCTGATTTTCTCTAACTAACATTTTTCTGTGCTTTTCTTGAAAAAGGCCATAATTATACTGCAACCTATGGCTGCAGGTGTAAGCCTTTAAAAAGGGTGGTGGCCAAGGGTGCTCTTGTTTTGATAAAAACCTTGTTGTCTACAAACTGAGCCTCACTCTGTTATAAAAACTCTGGGAACTAACCACACAACTGTATAATGAATTCTTGTTTCAAGTTCCTTGTACCTGGGTAAATATGAAGTAGGGAATCTGACAGATGAACTGGAATTAACTTGTTCACCTGCTTTCAGCTTCCCTAATAAAAAATCTAGTTTTTTTTTTCTCTTCTCTCGGCAAATGAACCATTTAAGAAAACTGAGCAGAAAGAAAGTCATCTGCTTCAATTTTATGGTGTGACATACCAGTGAGATCCTCTTGCTGAAGAGAACTTCTTTGTAGCTGTTGAATAAACAAAGACAAAACATTCAACACTGTACAGATTAGAGGTCTTCATCTAGTACACACTCACAGAACTGTGCAGCAACTAGTGTCTGATCTTGCAAAAATGTCATTGAATTTTTTTTTAAAGTATTAATTATTTCCCTGATTTGACCCCTTGCGTGCACATATAATTATTTTTTCTCTAACTTAAGTGTGTGCAGTTTAATTTGTTGTTCTACAAAGTCTTAGGGAAGTCCAGTATGAGGGGAGAGTTATTTTGAAATTGTCTTAATCTTGAAATCATACTGTGAGAATCTTCAGTGTGCTATTGGTCTTGAGCATTAAATAATCTGTCATACATTGCCTACAGTGAAGCTACCTGAATCTAAGGCAAGTCCAAAACCATACATAAGCTCAAAGGGAAAAATTCTACCAGGCTCTGCATGCCAAGGTTGCTCCCATATCCCTTGTAAGTACATTCAATTTGCCTTACCCTTTTCTCAACTTTTTCAGCATGATCTTTCTTCTCTTCTGCTTGTTTCTTGTAATGAGACAGTTCTCTTTCCCGCTCCTTTTTCCTCTCATACACTGACTGCTCTAATTTTGTGAGCTCTGCCTTTGCAGCCTCGCGAGCAATCTGGGCATCATGATTCATTGCATTCAGCTCTTCAAGTTCTTCTCGCTGAGCACAAATGGCCTTCTCTAGATTATTCAGCTGATTGGGCCAAGTACGACGCTCTTCTTTCAGTTGTTCCAGTAAACCCTCATATATTGTCTTTATTTTCTTTGCTTCATTAACTTTTAAAATCATTTTGTCTAGACCATTTTCCAAACTTCGCAGTTTCTATCATGAAGTAAGAAGGTCAAAAACATAATTTTCTAAGCCATTAAGTTTAATTAAAGGAAAAATACATGTATATAATCAATTGGTTAGCATACAAGTAGAATTTCAAAACTTTAGAACTCTCCCATCTTACAGTGCTAGATCACACTGGCTGCAGACTGACCCTTATTCATTATGATTTTTTTTCAACTATTATTTATTTTGAAGAGTCAACACTTTTAGTTATAATTTGGTTATAATAATGGCTGTGCACAAGTATATACATTTGGCACATTTCTGAGCCTTTTTCTGCAAAACAGCAATGTAAAATTTTTTCATTCAAAATGTCTGGAAGAACTTGAATGGTGACTGTCAATTTGTTGATGGTTATTGTAAAAATTGGATTGTGTTTTTACAAAAGATGGAATTATTTTAGTTCAGATGCCAACCCAACAACTGAATTGACCTACATGTAAACAACTGAAAAGTTCTGAAGAAAACAGATGCAGGGCTATGGTCTGGCAGCACCTGGTGCCCCTGGTGCCTTACTTTTGCTCTTGGGTGACAACTCAGGAATCTTAGCTTTTTCATAAAAAGCATATGCTGGGCACCCTGGATTTCACAGTTTCAGAGCACTGTGCTCCCTTCACTTTTTCTTCAAGCCCAACCTTGAGAAGAGCTCTGTTTGATCAATGTTGTCCTTGTTATAAACAGTGTAGACAGTGCATCACCATGGCAACAACCATACCTGTGCCTCAGCTGATTCTCCAGTATCTGTACTGGACACCTCTTCAGCATCTTTAACCAACTGATTATATTCAGTCTCTAAGGCTGCCAGTTTCTTCTCACGAGTATTTTTCTGGTGTTTACAAGCATTCAGTTTCTTCTCTGCCTCGCACACTTGTTGGTCAAGTTTAGTAATCGCAGCCTATAAGTAGTACATAAATAATCATCAGCCATCATTAATAAATTCACAAAATCATTACAAGATTGAAGTTAACAATTGTTTCAAGATGCCGCATTCTTTACCTTCCCAGACATGCCTCTCATTGCACAGTGTCTTTGAGGGTCTTTTTCTTTGAAAGCATCATCAATCACTTGCTCATCTCCCTTAAGGAAAAAAAAAAGACCATTATTTTAATGCCAAAGGTCAATATTTATGTTTGTGTATACCAGGAAGCATACTTTTAAGCTGCTGAGAGTAGAAGTTGCAAAGAAAACTCAGTTCTGTAGTAATAATGTACAAGGATTCTTCTTGTATTTGATTTTTATGTCAGAAAAGTATGTGCATATTAAGAAAACCACAGCTTGACAGATGGCAAATTTTATGTAAGATCTGGAATCACCCTTCATCAACTTCCTTGCTAACACACTGTGATATGAACTACATGGTATTTTCTTTTGTACAATCATTTCTCTACCTGGATTAGTCAAAGAGGAAAAAGGCAGTCAATTATACTAATAAGGTGATTATGAATATGTTGTAGTTCAATTTTATCCTTGGTTGAAAATTTTATTTTCCTTTGTTTCAAACTCATTATCATACATTAACATGACCGAGAACAAAGGAAAATAAAATTTGAACCAAGTATAAAATTGAACTACAACATATATATTTGATCAAACAAGGAAAATCTCTGAAGCATTTTTCCCACAGAAAAAGGGAGACTTTAGAAATTCAGCCACTATTAATGCAACGAAAAACAATAACAGAATATCTCATGAACGGGCGTATGAAATTTGCTCTGAAGTAGCTATCAATTATTATGGCTGTTTGCTTTATTAAAGGAAACTGCACATTCAAGTTTGCGAATTATTGTAAGTTAATTTACGATTTCAAAACGACATACCGCTTTCTTCTTTGCCAGCTCGAATCGCAAACGTTTATTTTTCTCCCTTAGTTTACTAATTGTATCTTTATTTTTTTTCATAGTCCATTGCGAGCTTTCGTAGTAAGCTTTCCTGTCTCCATCTGCACAAAAATATAAACATGAGTGACACTGAGTTGAAGTAAAAAGAATCGCCCCTCTCTGGACGATAAAAAGTAAAAAAAAAATAAAGTAAGAGGCATCTGATTGACTTGAAACCACCTGTGGAAAAGTTCTTACAATGTAGTGTAGAGGAAGCCAGTTCTACGTAACGTTCACATAACATGCGCATCCAGTTTATACAGTTCGTGAAATTCTAATCGATCAAGTCTTACCCAGGAGAGCAAGCTTCTTTTTAAGCTCTTCGATCTCTTCCGTAGTAGTGATCGCTCCCTCAGACATATTTTCCCCCTGTAATAAGCCAAAATCCGATAGAAACCTGTCTGAAAGGCAAATGTATCTTCTCAATCTGTTTTTCAGCAACAACTTCACCTCCCTTCACATTGTTGTCAAGACAACCATACAAAATACAGCGCTTGATCTCATGAGGAGTATCGGCTAACCAGTTTAGATCGCTGTCTCAGGAATTCTTCAACCAATCAAAAGCCATGTTTCATCCGCGGCATTTACAAAATGGCGGCGAGCGCGGTAAAGGACAATTTGTGAAAGGTAGCTTACTCCCGCAGAAATTCTTGAATTATCTTCACTGTCATTTCAAGAAGCCGAGGAAGTAATGCAATCTTTGGAAGGCCAACAAAAAATGTAAGCTCTGATAATCTGTTAGTGACTAACTTTTCCCAAGGCTTATGAAAATTGCCGTGCCGGGCTACACAAAAGTTATCGCATCGATCACATGATTCGTATATCTCGTCGTAAAAGAATACTCAATCGTAAAATACGACAAAAATCTGAGCCGTTTTCTTATAATGCATTCCCTTGTAGATACAGTAACCCAAACCAAAAAGCAGCCACTCCAGTTTACTCTCTGAATACCGTAAACGGCGATGATGAATGTAATTTGGAAACAAAAAACAACGGTGGTACTCCAAAGCAGCGAACGAACACAACTCCAGGAGCATTCAGGAAACAGCCCTTTAGGTATATTACATGATTATTTACAGATTGATGATATTCATGAAAGGCAAGCCTGAAACGGGGTGAGGGTGAAATTAAACAGATATTCCTAGTTAATGTAAATCCGTTTATAGGTTTACGAACCGTTCATTTTCTCTTCAACCATTGTCTAAAGCGCTAGCGAAACAAGAGACCCCGTAACTACAAGACATTAGGGAAGGGTATTGTAGTGTCCAGGCCTCCAAGTTCACGCCCAATGCCCCAGGAGACATTTACTCGAGTATTTATTATGCACGGTAAAGTGAGAAGGGAGGTGATACAATCTAGGATAACGAACAACTAAAGGAGCTGTAAGCGAACTGTAAGCGAACTGTATAAGCGAACTCCAGAACGTTACAGCTATGTTCTGTTGTAGTCCAATGAAGTCTTGTACTGGTTCAGCCTCTGCTGTCTTTTTTGCAGAAGCAGCTCCAAGTTAAGACAACCATTTAAGTCACCTGTAAGTACGATACTTTTTTTTTTTACCACCTTTGATTAAAATCAAAATGAACAACTCTTTATTGTACATACCATACCTTTATGCCAAGGTCAATGTGACATTAAAGGAAAATATGTATCAAATTTTGTAGAGAATTACCTTACCTTTTAGATTTATCTAAGGAGTAGCAGGGCTTCACACTAACTTTTCAACTTACTAGCCAACTGGCTAGTGACATCTTAGAAGTTACGGCAATTTCAGTTTGTTTACTAGCCAAACTGGCTAGTGGAAATCAAAGACCACTAGCCAAAGCTGAATTTCTACTGGTCTGTGGCTAGTTGGCCACTGTTAGTGTCCAGCCCTGGAGTAGAGCTGATGGGGGACAAAAAAAGATCAACGAGAGTTGCACAAACTTGATAANAAGTTCACGCCCAATGCCCCAGGAGACATTTACTCGAGTATTTATTATGCACGGTAAAGTGAGAACGGAGGTGATACAATCTAGGATAACGAACAACTAAAGGAGCTGTAAGCGAACTGTAAGCGAACTGTATAAGCGAACTCCAGAACGTTACAGCTATGTTCTGTTGTAGTCCAATGAAGTCTTGTCCTGGTTCAGCCTCTGCTGTCTTTTTTGCAGAAGCAGCTCCAAGTTAAGACAACCATTTAAGTCACCTGTAAGTACGATACTTTTTTTTTTTACCACCTTTGATTAAAATCAAAATGAACAACTCTTTATTGTACATACCATACCTTTATGCCAAGGTCAATGTGACATTAAAGGAAAATATGTATCAAATTTTGTAGAGAACTACCTTACCTTTTAGATTTATCTAAGGAGTAGCAGGGCTTCACACTAACTTTTCAACTTACTAGCCAAGTGGCTAGTGACATCTTAGAAGTTACGGCAATTTCAGTTTGTTTACTAGCCAAACTGGCTAGTGGAAATCAAAGACCACTAGCCAAAGCTGAATTTCTACTGGTCTGTGGCTAGTTGGCCACTGTTAGTGTCCAGCCCTGGAGTAGAGCTGATGGGGGACAAAAAAAGATCAACGAGAGTTGCACAAACTTGATAAGAGCCAGGACCTAGTATATTGTTAAGATATCTATCTGAAATAAATCTTTTAGATTCAGACGAGACAGCAGACTACATCTCTTGAAGATGAAGCATCTCTGGTCAAAGAGATTGAAACTTTAAAAGCCAAGTTAGAGATTCTGGACAACGAGATCAAAGACCTCAGTGAAGAGTAAGTGTACCTGAGTTTGTGGTGGGATGAAAGAACAATGAATGTTGTGCAAAGTACTTTCAAATGTGAGCCTAACCTCTAGTTCTTCTTGAGCCATGCATAAATCAAATTGCACTTTATTATACCACCTGAAAATCAGCATATTCAACCTGTTTGTCTGTGTGGAAACTGCTTTAGCACCATAATTCTGTCATCGACCCTTTTACCCCAAAGAGCGATAAGCATGCTTTGCTCCCCCACCCCACCCCCATTCAATATCTCCCAATAGCATCACCCCTAAATCAAACATAAAGGTTAGAGTAACAAAAGAAATGATCCCCAACTAAAGAAGCTCTTTATCGTTAAAAAAAAAATTCTCCTTGTGTATAACTTAAGAAATGTATAGAGAACAGTATGGAAAATATGCATACTGATGTTAAAGTGTAAAGGGTTAGTCTGAACTTTTGCTTAAGGTGATTGCCTATTGAAACTACTCATTCATATCATATCAGGTACAGTGAAAAGGAGCTCCAGCAGCAAATACAGATGCTTCATGAGTACAATGAAATCAAAGATGTGGGGCAACTTCTCCTTGGAAAATTAGGTATTAAGAATTGCTTTGAATTTCTTTATGTGCTGGGTAGTATGCACATGTGCTTTATAAGTGCTTTAATTAGCACTATTCCTCAGTTACAAATTGTGTGATGGATTAAATTATCTCAAGTCTGCAAAGTCCTTTCTCTGTAAGTTAACACTTAAACAAGATTTTATACTGATTTGTGCTTCCTGATTCTGGCAGTTACATGTTTGACCAATTCAGACAACCATATCAATAATGATTGAAGGAAGTCATTACCAGTGATTCTGTGTTCTCATTTATTCAAGCTGAAATAGATGGAACAACAACAAGAGCCATGTATCAGGAGTTTGGATTGGATACTGACGACTAAACTAAAATCAGGTAGCTTAATTAAACACATCACATATAGTATACATATAGCTCTAAAGTTACACACTGTCTACTGCCTCTCTACTTTACTCATGAGAAACTCATGCCACCTCTTATATCTCCATTTATTGTTCCCCTTCCACTTTTCACAGTTTCCTTAGTCATGCTTTGTCAAAAAAGCTTTTGAATGGACTACAAAGCTTTTTGTGGGTAAGGAGAGACAAGTAAAGGCAAAGAGATAACACATGACACACAATCTCCACATAGTTATTCAAATACAATTGAAAAGCCTAGATCCATTGTTAAATGTGCTTAAAAAGATCAACATTTGAATTTTCTTTTGATCTCTTTAGAAGAAAATATAATTATATTGGGCCTAACAATTATGAGGAATAAAATTGAATCTACACTTGGTTCTAGTAACCATCCACCATTCAATTGCACCAACATACTCTCCCAACAAGTGATCACATAACTAATAGGTTTACAGAAGGCAGAAGGTTTAAGGCAGAAGGTCTACTGCAGACTAACTTTGTGAACTGATTTTGTTTTCCAAACAAAAACCTTACAGCTGTTTTTTTACTGAGCATTTCAATAACAAACCTAACTCTGAAGTTCATGGGGTAAGCCTGCTGTTTCATTTGATGCTGCTTTCAATTATCATCATGATGGAAATCTGAGAGCTTAAAAAAATATATGGATTTAATTCCACCAATCCCAAGTCAGGACATGACATTCTTAACCCTCTGAATGATTGCACATGCTTCCAAGGAGGCCTGCATGGAAAGTGGGCACAAACAATTTTTATTCATGAGTTGCGATGCATCAAAAAAAAAAATTAACAAGCTCCACCACTTTCCATGGTATGATGTTTTCATTTCCAACATACTGAGATTTTTTTCTTAATGAGTGACACATTTGGAAGCAAACAACTGTAGAAATACATCGTTCGTCCAATCAGAGATACAAATGACAGTACTTCACAGTGTAAATCTCAATTTGTATGAAATAAAGAAATTTTCAATGGTTAACCTTCAACTTCATAGTTTGAATGCTATTAAAAAGCACAGCAATTGATCTAGAAATATTTGTTTACAGCAAAATAGGCTTGTGCAGTCCCCATTCTGGATGGATAGTAAAGTGCCGTCCATAGGCCTTGTGTGGCTGTGTGAACATGGAACTTTTGTTAATGGCAGCATCACTGGGTACTTTGTAAACAGGAAGATGGTGCCATGTCTGGAACTGCTGCCTGACATGAACTGGGAGCCGCTGTCGAACTTTCTGGTAATATGACTGTTTGGTAATGTCTGGAACTCGCTTAGGATTGTTCAGCAGCTTACCACAAGATGCAATGGTGCCTTCTCTATGAAACAACAGTAAGGTGGCAGTGAATCTCTAAATTATTTGCTATCAATAGAAAATTAATTTTGTTAGGATTATTAATTGACTTTGAATCCTGATTGTTATTTAGAGTACATAGCGATGTTTATTTAATAATACTGTTCATTACGGTCCACTTAAAATTTATTTGCATGCAGTCTTTTACCTAGCCAGTGCCTCAAGAGCTTCCTCAACTCTTCCACTGTCACAGATCTCACAGTTTCCCTTTGTGTGATCAGGATTGATCTTAGGGCCCAGTGAGTCCATCTTGTCTGCCTTAACTCCAGACAAAGTACTGAAAAATTTCAAGGCCAGTTGGCGCTCTGTCAACCAAATGAAAAACCCACTGAATCTTTCTGTATAAAAGTAATTATTTCCATGCTCTGTATGTTTTATTATTATAGCGTGAAATTAGTATAACTGGAACAAAAACTATTGACAGAAAAATTTTGTGCCCTTTTTTGGGCACAAAATGTTCACTCACTTTTTAGAGTAAAAAGAAATATATAGTAAAGCCTTGGTGTAATATTAAGAAAAAGTACAAGTTACAATGCATTTCAAAATACATGTACATCATGTATTGACCAATGCATAAGACAACAGGTGATAAATTAACTTCCATAGAGTATTTGTAGTTAAAGTCACAGTAGAAAAAGAAGTCTGAGAAATCCTAAGATTTCAATGCCTCAGCAACTTTTGTCCCAAATTCTATTATAACATAATTGCATGCATTTCATAATTCAAATAAACCTTTGTCAGTGGCTTTTTTCAACCAGTCATCTACTGCCTCCAATGACTGAGGATGAATTGTCTTCTTGATTGACTGCAAAGAAAGCAATATGGTTAAAAAGATAAATAAACAATACACTGATAAGGAGTGAGAAAATGTCAGCAATCTATAATTAATTGAGCTGGTGAACCTAATTTATAATAAAACCACATCTGCACAATGTTTGTGTTCCTTCACAAAATTTCTTCAATTAATACTATATCTTATTAACCAAGCGCAAGGGCCGTACTGGGAGAATATCGGTCCGAGGTCTTGACAGTATGGACCGGGCGCAGTAAGGTCCGTACAAAAAAGACCGAGGGCCGATATTCTTCCAGTGTGGTCCCGAGCAAGCTTGGTTAATGAGAGATTTATTATACGACTGAAGTTCAAAGGGACACAAGTGCGGTATCATTCGGGACCATTCGGGACAGTGCCTGGTCCAATACTTAGAGAATATTGGACCGGTAATAGAGCATTTTGATTGCTTGATTTTGGTTATTGGCCCTCTGACTGCCTGAGTCGTGTAAAAAAATTTTTTTACAACATTAGATTGGCTTAAAAAAAATAAACCATGGTTTGTCTTTACTCTCCATTCTGTCAATAAACTAAGAGTACTGTTTGTTGCCCTTTGGATAGCCAAATTGGCCTCACCCTGGTTGTTGGAAGGGTAATAATAAATCTCTGTCTGCTAGTTAACGCAACTGACGTTTTGGTAACACTTATCCCCTGGATAACGATAGTGTTATCCGCTCTTAAACAATGCACCCAGGGCTGTACTTTACCTTTAGAAAGGCCATCTTCCTTGCATTTTCCAGTTCTTGTGGAAGATTCTTGTCTGGAAAAAAGATTGTGTAACCAGTATTTAACTTCCTATTAGATACCTATGTCCCAAACTACACTGTGAGTTCAAATAAGTGAAAACCAAAATAGTGTAAATGGTGACAAACTTGGCACAGAAATGCCTTGACATATAGATGTTGTGCACTTACCTTGGCTAACAGACTCTTTGGAAGATTTCCCCACCACTGGCAATGAAGCCTGTATTTACAAAGAAAGAAGTCTTGTACCAAGGCTGTTCAAAGAACTTAATAGTGAAGTTTGGGGAAAAAGAGATCTTGCATGATACTATTGAGCTTTGCTACATATCAACCTCTATACCCCCAAATGTGTTAATTACCAGTAATTTGTGCCTGATGAGAAAGAAGTAAGGAACTGGTATTCAAATTGTGGACACAGTATATTGCTAACTGTATTTTATTTTCAAGTTGGGTGCTTGAATCCTTATAGAGTTTTTGACATTAATAAGATTTGAGTCTTGGAGCAAAGTGGCCCATAACAGTGGGTGTTTATCCCAGATTTCTGTTGCACACAAATTTGTGGTGTCTCTCTCTACCCCTCTTGAATGGTTACCTTGTCCATCACAGGCACCCAATTTCTGCTGAACATTCCATTTCAGGCTTCCTGGACAATTCAATTGTAAAGTATATAACTCATTTATTTACCTGGACTGTCAAAATAAAGTGTCTCGCTCAATTTCACAGCATCATGCAAGATGGGGTGGCAGTAACCTTAGCTTGTTTTTCAGTAATTCTTATTTATCCACTCCAGATAGTTTATTTAGTTACTTTACAATTATTATTAGTTTGAAGTTTGAAGTTTGAAGTTCATCTATTTGTTTAAGCAGGTTCATTAATTGGCAGCTGTAATAGCTGATGTGGACCTGCTGTCCTAACTCACCCATCCCACCCCAGGGGAGGACATCCATCACACAGTAATCTCGTGTGTGGGAAATTAACGTCTCCT